TTGTTGGCATTGCTTCAATAATATCAACAATCAATTTCCCCTTTGTCCAGGTCTGTTTCCCTTTCGTGTTTTTGGCCGTTAGACAATCTACGGTTAAAGGCACCGTGGCAGTTTTTATCCTCACAAGCAAATCCCAGACCGCTACGGAATTTCATTGCTTCAGTCCGTATCGATTGTCAGTATGCAGGGTCAAGGTACATTGCAAAAACTGTGGTGTTAAAATCAACTCTTTTTGGTGTTTTCAGATGACCACACCATAGAGTGTTAATTTAACACGGTTGGTGTTTAATACTTTGCGCACCTATAAGTGTTGCATTACACTGGAGGGTATTAAAAGTAATACCAAATAACACCCAAATTTTTTACACTAGTGAAAAGTATTGTTGTAGTCCTCTTTAACACCCCAGTTTTTGCACAGTTTGGCATGTTTACGTGGCTTTGCAAGCATTAACTGATGAGAACCACTGAACCAGCTAGCCACGAATAATGCACCTGCGGGGCGTGTGGCTGGTATGCATTATTGCAAGGCGAAAACTCTCTGCATAATAGTGTCCAGTATCATTCTGAACTCTTCAACACCTTGATCGTAATGGACCGCATTACCATTGCGATCAAGGTGCTGAAGAGTTTAGTATAATAGGGGTATAATAAGCCTCGTCCATGTCCATCTACATTGTACATGTAGAACCTAGCGGGTAAAGATCTATTACATATGAAATCCATGGGCCGGTTTCAATCAAGCTGGAAGTGCACGGGCCATTTGTGACCAGGAAATGTCACAAAGACTGGGCTTTTGAGCAGGCGATGCACAAAACACCTGGCTTATTTGCCAAGATTTTTTTTCTTGAAAGGCTCTGGGATTTTCAGCTTGCTTCAGTTAACTTCGCGTAAAGGTTAATCTTGCAAACCGACCCCTCGACGTACCGAAACACTCCCACGTCTCCAGTGGGGGTAGGGCGCGCCTCCTTTCCCATGACACGGAAGGGCAAGACTACGTGTAAATTCACCAAAACATTATACCATTGGATCGTACATGTTCCCTCGCACCCAGCATCTGCTCCCCAGATCAAGGTGGCAAAATTGGAGAGACGAAATTCAAGGCAACCTTTCCTGATATGCCCAGTCATTTTCATCAAGAGGCCAAAGCATTGTTGTAGCAAAGATAAATACGAAGAAAAGTCTGATGTAGATATTTACGATTGAGAACTCTTTTTTTTTAATATTACTTGTCCATGACGCGACATGCTGCTGCAGAGTTAAATATGATTCCTGTTGAACTATGCTGTACCAAAAAGATTTTGCTTTGTAGAACAAAACCTACATAATTTGTGAGAAAAAGTGCGTGTTTTCCTTCGAAATTCCCCGATGCTTATTGCAGACTTTTCCTTGCCCCACTTTGTATATACTCAGGTTGCAGAAGCCTTCATGTCATATAGGGCCATGTACATGTACCTGCATTATTTTTTTTGATCTGAAATTGTACCTTTTCAAGTCGTTTTTTACATTGTACAGTGACCACTTAATGCATGGCAGTGCGGGTGGGAATGGCATTTCATCTGTTATTCGACTCTCACCGCTGGCTATTTCCGGACTCAGCATATAACCCTACAACTTTCATTGAAAATCCATTGTGATTTGGGTTCTCAGAGTCTCAGTTGCAAGCTTTAGACAGAATTTTATTACCAGCTGCCACATACCTCATATGTCCGTATCAGAAGATTATTTGCTTCAGGAATTGAAATGTGCAGTGAGTAGTTTAAGTAAAAGTGTTGGCGATTTTCCTCTGGTTTAGACAACTGGACATTATGCAAGTATATAATTTCTGACTTTTTCACATGAACACAAACATATTTTCAGCCGGCCTCTCAACTCCAATTGCTGGATAAAACCATTCACAACCTGAAATAGAAATCGATTGACTCGTGATAAGAAATCGAGCTGCAAAAATTTTTATTATTCGATAGTCACTGTATACTTTAGTTGTGTACACACGTTCGAGGCTGTTTTAGAGTGTACATTGTACTTTGAACGGTATTTGTTTCGCTTCTGAAGTCAGCTGCAGGCTAAGGAAGCAAATTAGTGTAGGGCCTGTTGCTAGTATTGAGGCAAAATGAAAAAGAAAAAGAAAAGAACGAAAGCTTAACGGTGTAAACAATGACAGAATTGTGTCAATAGAATGTCAAGCGCTAGGATTTTCGATTTGGGTGTATGTAAACGTCACTCTAGTTCCTCAATAATTTTGTGCATCTGAACAATCACGTGAATTCAGGGAATTCGTGTGTACATTGTGTATGTGTGCTAGGTTTTTGTATGGATGTCCGTTGTTTCCTTGGCCTTGCTCTATACACGTGATTTGATCTGATGAAGAGACGCAGCATTGTCAAAAGTTAAACGTTAAATATGGCGGTATGACTAATATAAGAAATATCCTGTGTGAGTTTTCAAAGATGTTAATCACGGCATGCTTTTTTCTTTATAACGTGAATACCAGGCCCGCAACATGAACGAGTGATACATTATCGATTCTCAGGAGAGAACGGCTTAAGGAGATGATGAAAGCTTAAGAACTACATCACTTCAGAATAGGGCAAAAGGTTCCGTCCGTCAGAAAAATCACACCAGACAAAAGTACATTTTGAATACAACTAAAGAAGGAAGGAATTGTTACAAACATTTGCGAACTTAGAGAGAAGTTTTCACACTGACATTAACGCGCTTTCATGTACATGGACAATCTCTGCGGTTGCAGAGATTTTTCCCTTTTACTTTTTAGTCTGATTTGATAAGTGTTTTCCTTCTTCCTCTGAATCCAGAGATAACAGAAAGCTAACACACGTAATATCCACGTTTTCCAAGCTTAAAAGGATTGCCATTTCCGAAATATTTACTTCCCCTTTATGTTGAGCGCACGCAGTCAAGTGTGGATAATTGTTATGAAATCACTCGGGGGGGGGAACAATTAAGCATGACTCGGGAAATAATAAATAGACTGCTCTGGTAAAAAATGGGGAACATTATGATGAATCGAACAATGCAGTGGGGTTCCCCCTACGGTAATCTATAAGATAGAGGGGATTGTTGGCATGAATATTCCCATGACTTTATGCCTCGTCACCAACTGTAGGCCTATATGGGTATATCTATGGAGTGAATTTCTTGCATGGTAGTCAAGGATGTGCCAAAACTCGAGCTCTTTCGAGAGCTCTGCTGTGGGGTTGAATTTCAGGTACACATGTATTCCGCACGGTATTTTTTTCCCGCACAAAGCCTGGTTTACGCTATCGATGTTTAATGCAATGAAATATACCGGTAACCACTATCTCGCAGTAGAGCCGTGTCGGAGTGGGCTATAGGGCTGGTGTTGTAGAAGTTTGGACTCATTAAAGTAGATATTCATTGTCATTCATGCCACAGTGGACACACAAAAAAAGAGACTCGTCACTCACCTGTTAATAGATTCATGGTGTATACGTATTTCAATAGAGCCTCAAATTTTACACGACACCGGCGGCCACTGACCCTCTACAGAAGGGACCATAAGGCGAACTTTCCAGGCACAACCTTGTGCAACTTTTTACTCTTCTACAGGGTGCGCTGAACTAATTCAAGCTCTATTGAAAACAGTGTAAAATCAACAAAGTTTGGAGCCCCATGGCAGGCAACTGAAGTCCCTGAGGCCTCTCAAACAAAAATCAATGTGTTGTTTGGTCCTTCAGATTTCATTTGATTTTCAAATTTTAATAGGTTAACCAATGAATTTTTAAATTATCCGCCAAAAACAAACTCACCCGCCAAAAAGTTAACGTTCGCAAGTCTTCTAAAACAGTATTTTTTTCTGATGACATCCGTCACCTTTCTCAGGCTCTGACAAATTTTCAATCACATTTTTGTCTACCGTTACTTAGAGCGGACCAAAGAAGGTTTAGCTGATCCAACAGTTTGGATTGGAAATCCGAATCCGAAAGACATAATTACATATCGACAGTTTAAAATGAGAACAGACAAAAATGTCAGTGCTGTTGGTGTACTTGTGAAACATCATTTTTAATTTACCCTTAGCAGATCATATTGCACGTTTCTCGATAAATTGCGAATAACATTCCCGCAGCTAGCAAATTGGTCCCCTTTTGAACTTGCGTTTTGTATTATATATCAAAATTACACTGAATTCTGTAAATTCCCGTCAATACGAAGACTTTGACCATCCCTTGTATACCTCCAAAACTGCGCGTGCTTTCACAGCACAGTCTGCATTACATTGTCCGATTTTGAATGACTGACCTTGTGTGACTGAACATAAGCCTTTGTCAGTCACCATGGCCCAATACACCTTAACCACCTTTACGTTTTTCGTGCCACATTTTGGCACAGATCATCAATCCAGAAAATAGTCATGCTCGTATACGCAGTTGAAAAGAAGACTGACACAGTCACTTGCATTTGCATTTTTAGTTTGGTTTGGCACTCCCGCTACAGTCACGGTATAGCATGACATAATCATACTCAAGGTCCAATCCACACCGTTTGTTCAAGTTTTATCAATGCAGTGAAATATTGATCGCATAAACGTTTACATTTAATTTGCCCAGCATGGTCATTTAAAAAAAATCACGAGCTACGTACGAAAAGCCTACCTGTCCTCTTTTTTCAAGGAAAGACATGTACAGTGTAGAATTTCGCTTCCGACCGTTAATGTCCAGAATTACCGTTCCTGGTTATAACCATTATGATATACCGTAAGGAAAAAGTTTTTTCTGGCGTGTTTTGCGAAATCCTGTTCAAAAAAGCATGGAATGGAATGTAGTATTTTATGTCGTTTAGATAACAATAGAAACTTATAATTTATCTGCGATTTTTCTCACAAATCTTTGTTGTGTAGCTTTAAAAGATTTTAAGATTTTTTTCTCTTTTTTGGGGGGGGGGTTCGAGGATTATACAGTTTGCGTTGATTTGCCTGAGAAAGTTTGCTTAATTTTTTTCTCGCGTTCTATATTTTTCAGGACTTATTTTTGTTGTAGACAGTGCCGATAGAGGGCGTCTCTGGGAAGCAAGAGACGAGTTGTTTCGAGTCGTCAACAACCCTCACATGACGAAGAGAATTCCAGTCCTCGTTTTGGCCAATAAGCAAGACTTACCAGGTAGGCCTGACAAAATTACAAGAAATTTTAAAAAAAGGTTTAACCTCGTTCATCGCCGTTAGCACCTTGCATAACGGGATTTTGAGAAGGTCATTAAACTTGGGCCAGTACTTGACCGAGTGGCAAAAATGGGACGAGTTGAACAGAGACCAAACGCGCTGTGCCAAGTTTTCATTGTTATTGTGTCAGTCTCTATCGGTTCTAATGTCAGATGCCAAAGTTACAGTAGCTTTATCAAAAAAGCATTTGAAACTGGTAATTTGATCGGGGGATACTCTATCTCGGAAAAGGTGTCGAATACAATTCTGACGACTGCTGTTTCTGAAAATAAAGCATAAGTTTTAAAGGACGGGAAAGACCCTCGCAAATTATCTAAATGTACAATGGTGAAACAATTTGCATTACGAAAGCTTTGGTGTCCACGAACCTCCTCGTACCGTTTGTGTGCAGTGACGGCATGTTTGACTCATAGAGCAAGTGCAAACGAGGTTATGCTGTGTGGATGCAACGTGCAACGTGGCTTACCTCCAGAAATATGTTTTCATTAACAAATTAATCACGCAAACAGTTTGGAATAATGCTTTGCAACTAGACTGAAATCGTAGACCTCACTGCCTGTCTTTCATTCGTATAATACCCAAGCTGAAATGAAAATTTTCCCCCATACCTGCTACCGATGATAGCAACTTTATTTGTACTTCTAAGTTTTCTCATCGGGTTGGACAACAGTTAAGTGTTTGGTCATTCAAGATTCAGTGACCGACCATCTACATCTGAATTATCGATGAATGTTCTGAGCGACAAAAATTATGGACTGACATGATCAAACCATTCAAAAGGACAGTTAACTATCATAATAGGCCTATCCAATTGAATAGTAATTTGTCACCCCGTATTGATTTCTCCTCTTTATCCTTATCAAAAAATTGCCGGGTTCGAGTGAACAGAAGTCGAATTTATGTAGAATGAATACAGTGTTTCTGTATTGTTCATTAATTTCATGCCGCGACCCGTGCATACCAAACTTGAGAAACGCAGTACCCAGCTGTTGTTGCCTACCATGTGCTCATAATTTCCCGTATGACTCATCATCTTCCCAGGTGCCTACAATGCAGCCCGCGTTTCTGAGGTGATGGATCTGCAGGCTTTGTCCGAGAACCACCCTTGGCAAGTGATTGAGACTCAGGCCAGCACAGGGGAAGGACTCCACGAAGCCTTCAAAACTATGGCCAGAATGGTCAAGCAGTTCCACAAGGACTCTAGCAAAGCGGACATTGCGAGTTCAAAATCCGGAGACGCAACGGAGGTCTGATGACCACTGCGTCGGTGGCGCCAAAGTAAAACAAAAAATGGCATTGCTTAAAAGTGCTCTTCAGTGTTGGTGCTATTTTGAACATAGTGCACGTTGTCAGATAAGTTATGAGGACTGCACCGCTAGATGATAATGCATACACCATCCAATCAAAATGACAGTTGGGTGAGACAGGCGGAAGAATGTAGTTATAATGAAAGCCGTGCGCTGTTGGGATATATTTGGTCATGTATAGGCCTATGTAACATGGATCGGGATGGCGATCAAAGTGAAGATTGCAGTGAGCATGGCCCATTGAGACATTGTAAGCAAGAGGTTCACGTTGGAAGGCTCGAAGTCGGTCGGATGTTGTGACTTCCGCTCGTCGTCGCTCCCGCCGGCAGACAAGAACTGTGCTGATCTGCAGTGAAATAACTAAATGTCCGTATAACCATCTTGAAGATGATAGGAATCTTCTTCGCCATTTCGTTTGTGGAAAGGATTTATTGAAAGAGGAGACTATCCTTGTGGAAAAGGATAGTGTTGTCGCAATATAAGACTATACGTTTAGCTTTGTAGGCCTACGTGTTTAACAGAATGAGCTGACGCTTTTGGATGGAAGAATTCTTCATAATAACTGACCAGCAACCATATTTATTGTCAGGCATGTAAACCTGCGGTGGTCACTGTATCATCTAAATTGTCTAAAATTGAGTCATGCAACACATCCTTTTAGGAAATAAACATGTAAATCCGTCTGTTCTTGTGGTCTGCCTACCTGCCCCCAAAAGCCTTGCCTGCTTGCTGTGTATACACGAAATATCTCGAAACGAACGGAAATAAGCTCATAATAGGTTTTACGTATTTAGATTCCCACCAATTTTCGGTTTTTTTTCCGAAGGTAGTGGTTTTTAATTGAGATTTTCCTGGTGTGCCTGATTGTAGTTTATCTCTGGCAAACTGCAGGGGTTGACTGCAGATGGTAATTATGTGAGAGTTAATTAAATGTCAGATATCAGCTCACTCAGCTGTTCAAAGTCTTTGCGAGATGCCGCTGATAAATGATAATTCGAAGATGGCAATCAAAGATGGCAGCGTTAATTATTATCCCAGTTGTCACAGTGGTATATTTAGCGGTGTGCATTCGGTTGATTTAAAATGCGTGCAGTGAGCAAATGAACATTTCGGTTGCCCTAGCCAGTATGTTCCGAGGGGCACATTCAAAGCCACGGAAACAACTATGGCCAAGTTTGTGCTTGTTGTTTTTTTACCTGAAGCTGACTTATCAGACATGCACTATGACAGAAGATTATACAATGCACCTACATGCCTTTGTGCAATACGTATTTGGCGGCAGCCGACGCCCATTGGGAAAGATTACTACGGTGTTCCCTCGCATAGTTTTGCTTAAGATATCAAGTGCGTATCTGAAATAGACTTCTTTCGTTTACGGCCAAGTCTTATTTGTCTTTGGCCTGCATTACTGACTTGTAAACAAACTATGGCTGACAGTTAGTACAAACGCAAAAGAATAATCCACAGTGTTAGAAAATTGCACGCAGCCATGAAAGCACCAAACTAGTATATACAGTACATGTACTTATACTTAATCAGTCAAAATAATTAAGGTCCCTTTTTAAATGGGGGGGGGGAACTCTGCATTTTGAAGTGACCCTTCCACCAACCAGGGTGATATTTCTACAAACCTTGGCAATCCATATGAATAATAGGCAATTTGAAAGTGGTCTCTTAATCCATTTCGTCATCTTTCAAGTTAAAACTTCATTTGCTTATGGCATGTAAACTGCAGAAACTGCACAAGTACATGTATACCTATGCACAGAAAAAAATTATACTGTTCTCATGTGCAAAATACATGTATAACATATGATACAATCATTTTACCCTAAATTCCCGTATTATAGTCGTAATTTTTCAAGCAAATCATTCTGATCTGTGGAATATTTTTGTATATAAATGGACTCACGATATTGTAATTGCAGTACCTGCTATCAGCGGCCCCACTGTATCTTAGTGTTACCTATTTTTTGTATAAATTGTGTAATGTGGGGTTTTAATCTTCGAAACCTCGATGTCACATTTTAATTCATAGCAAAGTAACGTCTGTTGTGTATAATATGACATGAAATATATTTTCTCAAGAACACCCCACGCGATGATGGTATACTGGCGTAACAGTATTTATTGTTTAAAGAAAACGACATATAAATTCAGTTTTAGACAAGAATAGGTAAAAATCCGGCAGTTTTAATTAAACGAAAATAGTTACGCGTGGGCCTATATTGTTTGAAAATCAAAGCCAACTTTAACAAAAGGTCACCATGTCGTTAATGATGCGGGTGATTATTCCATGTTCACCGAATATATGAAAACGGAATGTGTTGAAAGGTCTGCAACAATGGGAGTATTGTTATAACAATGGTGACCTCAAAACTTTAAAGAATTTTAAGCGAAGTCTCCTCCAGGTTGCGATGCGTCAAACAGATACAAATCCAAAGTTTGCAAAAGCAGATCTGCATTGTCAAAAAGCAATATTTGGCATGGTTTTGAAACAAGTTTGAAATAGCTGTTACTTACGCGCTTTTTGCAAGTGAACGGTATGTATCTATTTTTGTGCAGTATTTTACTACGAAAAGAGTGTGATGTCGAGTTGTTTCACAGTATAGCGATCCTGAATAGAATTTAAAACGTGATGAAAGTCACCGTCGATGCAAGATTTATCATGTTTTAATACCTCAAAGCTGAAGTCTGATTATTTTGTATTTATGTATTCAGAAGGAGCGACCTGCTTTCAGTTTGTGTATTTAAGCGCTTCATAACCAGTGAAAGTTAAAAAGAAAATTATAATATGTAATTTGATTTATCATGTTTTGGGGGACAGCTTGGACTTTGAAAGTTTCGACCCTTGCACTTTCAGTTTAACTTGGACAAATGCATTAGCCTGGCGTTTTGCAAAAGTTCTATTGTTTGCGCAGAGCGCTTTGAGGTGAGCGTGTGCTCTTTAATAATTCTGTACACATACTTGAGTTACAGGCTTTTATTCTTTTATGTTATTTATTAACTTATTATTTGTTATAAATAAGAACTCTTGGATTACATGGTTGGACACTTTTAAGCCACCATCCATGGAAAGCTCGAGACTGAGGCAACGCCTTCCCAAGTTGTCTGTCATGTTATCCAAAACTGTGATTACTGGTTTATGTAATTATGTTCACATTATAAAAGTAAGCATGGGAATTCATTGTTTTGTATATAAAATGTCAAAGAATTTATACAGAATATCAGTAATTATTCCAATGTTTCTCTCATTTCACTGTGCTCCTTTGTTTTATTGTGAGATTAATAATTCATATTAAAAAGAATCAAAAACGACGAACCAGAGACATAGTGTGACCGGGCGGAAAGACTGGGGTTGGTAAGAATAGCATAATGAACAAGTCATGCCCCCTCCCTTTTTGCGTGCTGGAAAATTTGATTTAAGGGCTGTACGGCTTAACACGTACCAAAACTTGGTTTGATTACTATTCAGGCAATAAAAATAAAATTTCCAGATCACCCATTTGTGTACGCTACTAGTTTATCGAACCTTGCATTACATAATTTATAGGCAACTACGTCGTGCGACTGTTACGATGATCTTTCACTTCCTCAAAGCAAGACTTGTCGCAGCCATGAAAACTGTTATGTTTACTCCTCTCATGAAAACTGAAAGTAAGGTGTGGAAACTTAAAGTCTATATCGCACAATGGAGAGAGAAAGTAGTCCTCACGCGACCTACGGAGCTATAAAAATCGGCTGTGCGCAGCGAGCGCTCAAATTTTTTGGGGGTGCACCCAAGTAAATGGGCCAAAAATATGTCCACCGATCTCGTACATTCTATTTCGCTCGTCACCCAGCGCCCGAAAAGGTTGGGGAGAGCTGATGGCCTTGCACAAATTTCATTGAAGAAAATACGTCACACGGGGTCACAGCTGACGACGCGCAGAGCAATGAAGGTAGATTTCTGCCAGGCGCGCGAGCTCGCTCAATGCGTTACACAAGCGGCAGTTATCCATTCGATATATTTTTTTCTTTTTCTTCCTCATTGCTGAAAATATTCTCACATTAATATATAGCCGACACTTTTCCCGTGCCAAAGTATTGCTATACTGGCGAAACAACAGGAAGCTAACAGGAAGTGATAACCTCGCGGTCAAAAGTGGATAGAGTCCCGAGCACAGACGTACATATAAACGCAAAGACCGTCAGTCTCGCGCGTATAACCGTGATTTTGAAAGGTATGGACAAACAAATGGCGAAACCACTGATCTCCATTATCAATGGATATTGTAACGTGTCCTACTGATTGGGCTCTGATGCTTACACAGCCACACACAGCTAGCCACAAATCGCCGTTCCGGCCAAGAAACCTTGGTTTTATTTCTTTTACGTTACAACACTGTGTCGATCCAAAGCTCTAGAGGCGTCTAGGCGGGGACTGCGCCGGCACGAGGCGGGAAAACCGCGGGCCGTTCGCATACCAGCAGCCAGCTAGCTCCATGCGGTTCCGAGCTGGCGCCCCCACCGGCCGGACCCGCCGGCTCTACAATATCAAAGGGCAAAATGGGGGATGACAGTGCGTTCAGTGCGCATTACGCGCAACGCACTTTCACTGCATGCGTTTGTTTACGTGCTCCGAAATCACTTTTTTGCCCTTCAGTACTATACTGTTATCTCTTCTTTTGAAGTGTTGCAGCCGCATTATTTTAAATCTACATAGGCCACATTAATAAGTAAACAGATGATTTTGTAATTTTTAGTTGTTTTTTTTTGGTAATCGAAAAACGGCTTCATTGAATTTTATGGCTGAAATCCTTCAGATTCACGGTGTATTCCACCAAATCATTCCACGGGATTTTTACAATAAGACATGCCATAATCAGGGGGCATCGTAGAAATATTTCTATAAATCCCGAATTTGGGACTGGTAGTTTTCAGTTCGGAGTATTTCTTTCACAAAAGCCCCAAATAGTGGGCCTATTTTGGATAGAGGCGGGCGGCTACATTCAGAACTGAGGGCAAAGTTTTACAACTATTTTGGCATATGAAGCGAGACATGAGACGGAGAGAACCCCCCTCCCCCGCTTTGTGTTGGTTATTGTTTCGCTGGAATCTGAGGAATTCTTTTTAGACATCTAGGGAGGATGTGTTAGGTAACAATAGTATAGAATGTGTATAGTGATTGGACATGTTGGGGGGTACCCCTTGGTCTAATTTTTTGCTGGATATATTTTGGGGGTATTTTCGGGGAAAGGCGAATAAAAAAAAATCACGTGGCTAATCCCCATAAACTTGAAACAAAAAGTGACCTTCTGGCCATAGTCTTGAAATTCCAGTGAAAAATCGGAAGCCAACTGCTTTCCGAAAGACCACAGGCAGTAAAACTAATATTTCTATGATGCCTCCTGATCATGGCCTGTCTTACTGTAAAAACCCCGTAGGATCACAAAGTATTAATGAGCTCGCGAGCAGAATTAGAAATACACACCCCGTTTACTTTCGACACCAAATTTATTGAAGCCCGCCCTCTGTAGATGTAAGGGAACAATGAAAATGTCTACTTGTCAACTTGTTTGACGGGCGCGCCAATCTCGAAAAGCAGCAAGTATTTACTCATAATTTAAAGTTAATTTGGATATATTTTCATACATAGATATATCAATCCTTGGGAAGAGTCTACAGTGACTTATTAGCCGCCAGAAAGCAAAACATGTCTAGGAAAGTTCAGTTTAGGAGGGACGATACGAAGTCGTTTACTTAGAAAACACTGTGCATTTGACTTCGGGCCCCTAGAATTTTCCAGAATCAGTCTCATAGGGTTTGTGCACGGGGTGTCAAGTAGCGTCAGGCAGCGTCCTCAGAATGCCCTAACATGTCCTTAAAAATCCTATTTAGGTGGGGAACTGTTGAAGCATTTACTTAAGAAATACGGTAGGTAGGCCTGTCTAGGGCCTAAACTTTTAGTCCCATCTCCATGCTCAGTTCATTGTGGTTTGTGCACAGGCCACATCCTCATCACACTGACATGACTGGGCAGGGTTTCAACAGTCAAGTGACCGGATTGTTCAACTAACTCTTTCCTACCTCCATGCTCTTTCCAATATTAAATCCCAGTTTAAGGAAAGTGTTATGTATATAGACACCACTTATTTTTCATTACAGTTACCTCTAAGACATCTGAATGCAATAACATGATCTAAAAGTCAAATATCACAAACACTCAGATTTTTTTCAGACCAGTCTTAGCCTATCTTATTTATCATAGGGTTTGTGCATGGGGGCATCTGTATATGGAACTCTTTCCTGGTTTAATTTACCAGATATTTAGTGCACTGTAAAACGAGAGAGAAAGTTTCACATTTATTAAATGTCCTGAGTCGGGGACTCTCACAAACTGTGTACATATATTGATTGAGAGTCCCAAATTTTTAGACTACACTACTTATACTGTTATACATAATTGAGTGTTTGAGACAGCGAATTTCTTTGCACTGTCATTGCATGAATTTATTTTGAATTGGTGACTACCCACAGTGCTTAGCATTTCCTTCTCAAAACTTTGTGACAGAGATAAGCCATCAGTGTCATTTGACTGGATAGTGGTTGTAAGTGAGTTCTGGGAAATAACTTACTTGCAGATAAATATGGAGAGAAAAACAGATGAATTCTGAGAATCATTGCCATTATGAGCAGTGGCAACAGTAGTGGGAGCCAGAATAGGGGGCGTGGCTGGCAGAAAGGACAGGGGAGGGGACAAGGCAGAGGTGGGAACTATTATCATAACAACCGAGGAAGAGGACGAGGTGGTGGATGGAGAGGTTACTATGGAAACAGAGGTGTGTGTATAGACATTATGGAAAAGCTGTGGATTGCATTTATGTGCATTAAAGCCAATGAAAAATTTGTCAATTAAATTTCTGTGCTTGTGCACATAACTTTAGTCACTAATCTGGAGTGCATATGACAATTTTTCACTTGAATGTGCACAAAATAAATGGTGTAGACAAAACAGTAGACAATCATATCACAGACAACTGTTTTTGCCTTCCTGCAGCCTCTAGAATTTCATATACCATGTTGTCTGCAATAAAGTACACGTACAGTGCATTCACAGGCGTTCATTGTGTGTTATGAATTTCAAGTGGAAAGGGATTACTATAACAAATATTTACCTTGACAGTATATTTGATGGAAGTATTCCCCTGAACAATTTATGTAAAACTAAATCTGTAATTGACCGTTATCCCACCTTGACAAGCATGAAATTGCTGCTGTCATTATGTTCTTCTGGTGTAGGGGGAAGAAGTACCAATTCTTCTACCAATCGTGGGCCTGTCAGTGCCACCCGGCATGCTGATGGCTCCATTGCTAGTCTTACTCCTTACAAGGGCTGGAGGTACTACTTCAAAGATGAAGGTAGTGAAATGTTTCTTACGTGGATGAGGAGGCATGTGGCCTAGTGGTTAGGGTTTGTAGCTTCTGATCATAGGGTCAGGGGTTCGAATCCAGCTGATGGCAGGATGTTGTAATCCTGGACAAGTCACTCCCACCCAGGAGTAAATGGGTACCTGTGAGGGCAGACACGGTCATGTTTAACTGTTTGGGCGGAAATGGCAGTACCGTGCTAGCATACTCCCCAGGGAGCTGAGATGGTTTCAGGAATGTTCATATAATGTGTGAGTCCAAGGTGCATTGATAACGATAACACAGTGCCTCGTAATAGTTTACTAGATAGATGGCGCTTTACGAGTGCTTGTTATTATTAATATTATGAGCACTTAGCACATCAAAGTACGGGAAACAAATCAGAGCAATGGACTCCTCGTGGGACACTTTAATAACTTGCCTGCAGTGGACTGCACATGTATATGATATGACATATACGTGACTTCTATTCGCGTGTATGGGCACAAACCCTTGGTTTCTTTGCAAAGGGCATCAAGAGCACACCTGGTTTGTCACTGGAGTGAGTATGTCCTCTTTGCCTCCGTCAGGTTATAGCGATCATTCACCCACTGTCAGTAAGGTCAAGACCTTTGAGAAGTTCTTTGCCTCAAGAATGAAAGCCTATGACAAGGTAGGACAAATAATGCAATAGTATTGACATCTGACAGAGTTCCGAATGGTTGCCAAGTTTTTCTCTGCTGTGCAGTAAGGCTGTTCTCATTACATCCTAGATGATGTACATGTATCAACAAAGTTAAGACTAGGTGAAACAACTTTCACTTAAGAGTTGTGATCATCTGGCCATCCGATTAATTTTGCCAATCCCTCTTGTTCTGTGCAAGTGAAAGAAACCACCTTCTCTGCCTACGGTGCCCTAGCCTCATAGAGATTTAAGTAACACTTTCAGGTTGAATAAATCCCAACCTTGGGTGTAGTTGCCGTTTCCGTTTTCTGTGGGTGGTTCCAAGTAAAAGTCAACTGAAGGAGGACAAACATAGTAGGAAGTGTACAGCAGAGATGGTAATTATTGCTCTGACTGCTTGCTAGCCCACCAGTTCATTACTGTGATGTGTAGAGATTTTTGAAGAGAGAGATTTCGAGTTAAATTCGTCGTTCAGATTTAGTGTACAGAGGGTTTTGACATTTCTGTTCCTTGAAGATATCTTTCTAAATTTGCCTTTCCACAGGATGAGATTGAGAGGAAAGGAAGTATCACAGTAGATTACAAGGAACTGATTGAAGAGGACAATGTGATGGAGACGTTACTTGATCTCAGGACAGATATCCGAGACCTACCTGAGAAGACCCTCAACTGCCTTGGGTTAGCCATTCATCAGGTCAGGTGGTGAAGTTAACTCATCCATCAATCAGATTTAGAGTCATTACTGCAGTGGCACCGCCTTGGCATTCAGGTGGTACAAGCCCTTTATGTTCCCCTCTGGCCAGTAGGCTGTCATGACTTACCAAAGTGTGCACTCAGTTTTCGGGCTGCACTTGTTGGATGGCCTCTCCTCAGATCAGTCTCTTGCTGTCAACAACCGCTGATCAAGGAAACCTTAAAAGTGACTAACTGGCACAAAATAGCCTTTGATATTTAATTGTAGTATGATATATGGACTTCTTGCATACTGTGTCTCTGTACGTTTACTGCAGTTAAATCGGATATCTGATAAACACAAAGAGCTGTAGTCATGTAACGTCGTATTGTACTTAAGATTTCAGTCTGAATAGTGTTGTTTGTATTTTTCAGCAGGGATTTACCATTTACCGAGGATTTCATCTCGGTTTACCTCTTAGTTAAAGCATGAATGCTGAGCTGTCCTGTACTTTGCCAGTCTGCAGACTCTTTATGTAAAGGTAGTGGCCTAGGTCAACATGTGTTTATGTTCATTTCCCATTGTTAGACCCTGACACGTGATCTTGAGCGTCAGGCAGCAATGCTTCGACAGCAAACCTTGGGAGATGCAGGGCAGCAGGACGTTGAGGTGCCTTCCGTCCTCGTCAGTGTACCAGTAATTAGGGCACGGTAGGCAAGCTGTTTCCTCTGTAGTCCTGATCTGAAACTTACTTTGCATAGAGGAACTGCTCAAAAATCAAAATGTTTTAGAGTGAACTCTTTCTGGTTTCTGTTCATTTTGAACATCCTTTCAAAATGAAAACCCCGATTAAAGACAAATTCTCTGATGAGTTGTTTCTGAGTTAAATATTGCTGTTAAGAATGCCCATGCTGGATCTGAAGAAGTTTGATATAGATGAGGACATTCCTTCTTCCGGACATTTACCAACTCTTTTTTGGAAAATAGCCAGTTTTTATTAGGAACATTTGTACATAATACTTGCCAATTTGGAATTCTAAGCTTACAAAGTAACTAGCTATCCAGTTGTGCAGGTGTCTTATCCACAAAATTCATACATTTGGTTGGATGGTTTCTTTAGCATGTATGGCAATTAAAAAACACTTCACCTGACAGTGTCAGAGTGAATGAGAAAGGATGAACGTAGGTGAAAGAGATGACCCAATTCAGACTTTGTCCTTCAAACTTTGTTATATAATGTTCCATCTTTTGCAGGTTGGTCAATTATGAGCCAGTCACACCGTTGAAGAACCTCAAAGCAAATTATTATGGTAATAGAAAGGATTTGTTCGTAACTTTGCAAACGGTAATTTGTAACAGATGAATTAAAATTCAGGTCAATTGTATAAGAGTTAAATAAATTAAATGATTTTGAAGTAGTGAATGACCAACAGTCACCCGGATGTTGTCATTTTTCTCGTTCAGGCAAGTTTGTGACAGTCAGGGGCACAGTTGTCAGAGTGAGCAACATTAAGCCATTCTGCACCAAGATGGCATTTCAGTGTAACACATGCGGTGACATACAGGTATCTTCAGTGCAATGCAGATTTCAAAATACATGTATCCAGACTTGGCCCAGATCAATTGGAATGGGGATTTATCGTGGAATAGCTGCTAGCGTTAAGTGAGGCTTTGCAGTTTTCAGTCATAGTAAAAGTTAGCGGCCCATCCATTTTGGCTTGTTTAATATTTTAGCTTGCTCCTGCAAAAAAACCACTGTATGCTTTTCCGATTATTTTAGTGATTTTTATTTTCTTGCATTGCAGATCGTTAATTTACCAGAGGGGAGATATACTTTACCAACTAAGGTAATGACAAGAGATGAACTACCATAACATTGATGCTTTGATTATTGTGTTGCCTTTGCATCAGGACAAGAATTTCATGTGCGTTTGACTTACATGTACATGGCTAACAAAATGAATCTGAGTCTGTATGAAAATGGGTCAGTTGTTGAGTTCAGCCCTGCAGGGTTCTTTTTCTGATTTGATAATGATCAGGCAGGTTTGAAATGTATGCTTGATGGTGCATTCTTCCTAGCCTGCCGTGACAGGAAGTTGATCAAATCTGACGTAGTATTTTATGGTGAAACCTGATTGTAATCAAACACTGTGTGACTTCTGTCTACATCACTTAGATGTACGACACAAGCAATTCTTGGTAAATTTGCCAAAAATTAATTCCCTTCCAACTTTGTTTTGATATACTTGTGTGTGCACAATGTTTGTATAGAGAATAGGAAAGCAGGCATTCTGCTTTTTATGACATTTGAATAGAATGAATATTTTGGTAAGGTCGTGCAAACTTCGTTCCGAGAGTTGATTGTTTATGGATCTAGATGTGTGATGGGAGGTGTGTTATATCAATCAACCTTCAGAAGGTGGTTGTACTTTTATTTCAAATACAAAACTTTTTTTGCATTAAAAAATAGAAAGAATGATTTTTTTGTCTGCAAATTAAAACTATTTGAAATTAGTTAAAGTACTGATTTCTGTTGAATTTCTTTTCCCAGTGTCTTGCACCTGATTGCCGTGGCCGATCCTTTGCTCCCAAGCAGAGCTCACCTCTGACTGAGACAGTTGACTGGCAGATGATTAAAGTACAGGAGATCATGATGGATGGCCAGAGGGAATCAGGGCGTATCCCCCGCACGGTGGAGTGTGAGCTCACCTGTGACCTGGGTAATGGCCTTCATCATCGAACCTTCTCGTCCAATTTTTGATTACCCTTGTATTTTCCTCGTCATCAGCCCCCTTATCATCTTGCTGTTTCATGTGAATTTCATGATGTCGAGTCATGCTGCTTCACTGAGTGAAGTTAGGACTGGTTGAGGCGATTCCAAGTTAAGACAGAGGCAGAGCCCAGACAGTTTTGGTCAACCTGACTGCATGAAGGAAGGATTAGTCTGTGCTCTGGCTAAGAATTTTAAGGCAGGGAAACTCAGCAGTCAACGTTTCTGTAGAATTGAATACATGTATGAGCTAGACTCAAAACGGGATGACCTTGTGGAAATGCTGTGAAAGAGACAAATTGCATCGCAGTCCAGTCATCTCCTTGGACGTAGGCTTGTCTCAAATCTCTGCATGTTAGCAGGCATGACACAGCTTGGTTTGGCTCCCAGCTTACACGTATCTCTTAGTTCAACATGGGTTTAGGCTTTATCTTTGACAAGGCTCTTTTTTGTCTTGCATTAATTGCCCTATAGTGGACAGCTGTGTTCCTGGAGATGTAGTCACCATTGGTGGAGTTGTCAAAGTGTCCAATATTGATGAAGGTAGGAACTTGCACAACTCAGACAATAAACCAACACTTGCATCTAACTTAGTTTCTGTATTGTAAAACCTCTTGGGCCTGCATAGAGACATAATCATGTGTAATTGTGTGGTTGATATTTCTTTGATTACAGTATCTGCTGAAGTCATGAGTAGTTTCTCTGAAACTTTAATACAAATAACCAGCATTTGGACAATTCTCAGCCTTGTAGTTTCCTCATGCAAAGGTTTTTTTGATCTGCCATTTACACATATGAAAGTGAATTTTTTATCCCTATATGAGTGAAATTTTTAGGCTTTTATTCAGGTTCGTATTCAGCAAACAGGTGAAATCTGTATCCCTGCCAAGACTGTTCTCTCTTGTAGGTCATGGACGCAACAAAGACAAGTGCATGTTTCTCCTCTACCTACATGCCAACTCTGTCCAAAACCAGAAACGAGGAAAGAAGGCCGTATCCGATGATGAAAGCTCCCCCACTGGAATGGGAATAGCCATGGACTTTACCTTGAAGGAGCTGTATGCCATTCAGGAGATACAAGATCAGAAGAACTTGTTCCGTCTTCTTGTTGGGTAAGTGTTCATGCTCACACTTTCAGTTTGTTACATGAAACGTAGACGTGTATTGTTGGCTGTCCAGCTTTTGCCCACCGTCAGTTAGCAAACTATGGCTTGCCATTCATACAAAAGAAAAACAAATTGACAGGGTGTTATGAACTATCTCACATGCCCTAAAAACAATAACTTGTACTACTATCTGCTAAATGGAAATGCCTTCTTCATAACACTTATGGACTAAATGTGCATTTTAGGCCAAAGCCGTTGCAGACCAAAGTTGAAGTTAAAGTCTACAGACTTTGGTCACCCATGAAAAGTGGCATTCAGTGTCTTGGATGCATTCTGGTATCAACCAACTATGTAAATGATCAGTCGTCAATGTAACCGTGCTGTTGACTTCTTCCGTCAGGTCCTTGTGCCCAGCCATCTATGGCCATGAAATGGTCAAGGCAGGCCTGATATTAGGCTTGTTTGGGGGCACCCATAGGTTCGTCAATGACAAGGTGAGATAGAATCTACAGTTTCTTTTGTACTTTTCAGGCGATCCATTGAGTGAATCTCTGTGATAATGGCACACCTCAAGTTACGTTGTAAAAAAGGAAAATTGATATCAGAAAAACTTAATTACAGCTTTCTTGTACTCAAATAGCTTTAATGACAAAGCAGTTGTCGTAAATGTAGATGTTACTTCTGCACTCATGAATGTGGAGCCTTGTATTATTTGTTATTAGTGATTAAACTAAGGATTCCTCAAAAGTAGTCAGGGTACTGCAGCTTGCTTACTTGAAGAAACACTGGAGAAAAAGACTTAATAAATATTCAGTTTTAGAAGTGCTAAGAAACCCCTGGAGAAATAGTCTAGGGAATCGAAAGGAATCAGGAACCCCAAACCCAATTCACGTGATGGCCAAGGTGGGATTCTAACCTTAGCCGTAGAGATATTGGTAGAAGGTGAGGAAGGTACTGTGGTGTCAACCCGACATCCACCTTTGGTAGCATTAGACTGTGAAGATTACTTCACAGCTTGTTAACAACTGCTCCCATTTTGATTGTTACAGAACCGTATCCCAGTACGGGGAGATCCACATATCCTTGTAGTTGGTGACCCTGGACTCGGTAAAAGTCAGGTAAGTGAGTCGCAAAGTATCTGAGCTAGTGGTACTGTTCTGTTAGAATATTTCATAGTTCCTCAATGATCCAATCTCGTCATTGGCATTCATTTAGAGGAGACACAGAGGCAAGTGCTACGAAAGAACAATTTAATTGTGCACATGTCTCACTTTTGAAGAGTCACTCGACACAGGCCACTTCATCACATGGATATTGTGTATCATACTTGTCCATTGTTGACGTAAACAATTTTGAATTCTATTAACTCTAGTGTTCCCAGGAGCTTTTTGTAGACAGAGGCCAGCTACTGTAACTTTAGTTAGGACTGGATGCCTCCTGAAAGTTTATGTACAGAGAATGTGCCCTTGAGGTCTTGTACCTTGCGATATTGATAGGTAAACTGATCAGCTTCAATGGGAACATCATCTCAGGGTACCCGTCCTGAGCAGAAGCACCTCCTCATCAGTTGAAAAGAACCATGTTGGTTGGGAGTGTTCTTTTTGTTGGTAGTGATGCGATTGCAACGCTTGCATGTCATAGTCATTCGTGAACCAGTTATGAGTTACGGTACTACCAAAGGAGCCTCCGTTGCTAAGAAAATCGTGCCTTCTTGTGGTCCAGTTCAGAGCCCATAGTGATGGATTGTTGACTGTGCTAGATGCTAGAGGGGGCCCTAGCAAATAACCTAGGGTTCCAAACTTTCACCACAGAAATGAAAACCACTGGGGATTTTAGACTGCCATGCACTTGTTGCAGTATTTTTCTAATATTTTCCGTGCACAAGCACAAATTCCCTTTTCACATCTGTATATTCTGAGTCTAGCTCTGTAGTTATCTAACACAGAAAAAGTTTTGTTTACACAGATGCTACAGGCAACATCTAATGTGGCTCCAAGGGGCGTATACGTCTGTGGTAACACCACCACTACCTCTGGCCTAACAGTCACCTTATCCAAAGAAGGGGGGTCAGGGGACTATGCACTGGAGGCTGGTGCCTTGGTACTTGGAGATCAAGGTAGGGCCAACTAACAGGGTAATTTAATTGCTCTTTGGTACTTGCACACTTGCACAGTGGTGGTATCCCAAGGCTCCGCTACTCTCTGGCTATGTAACTAAGGCTGCATCCGAGTCTGTTGTCTAGAGCTAGGTCTTGGTCTTCGCTCCATTGAAAATGTGTGGAGACGTGCAGACAATAGACCTAGCCGTAGCTCTGGAAGCCCGTCTCGGACATGACCTAAATTTAAAGAAGGCATAACAACCAATGCCACTCGAAGATTACACACTTTTAATGTACCAATCGTAGTATAGTGTCCTATGTTTGTGTACCCTTCCTGTCCAGGTTGTTGTTGTATTGATGAGTTTGACAAGATGGGCAACCAGCACCAGGCTCTCCTAGAAGCTATGGTGAGCAAACAGTTCCAAGATGTTACTAAACAATTATAACATGATTTAATTGATGGTGGATCGTCAATTTTAGCTCCTGAGGTATTGGAAGTTGACAAACTAGTTCCCAAGGCGAGTTCGTTGTGAGGTGAAGCTGAGGGAAAAGTTTGTCACCTTTCCATACAAAGAGGAGCTATCCAACTATCACTATCAACTATCCAAACAAAAGGCAAAAGATCCAGGTTATATTTGTTTTACCATACCTCAGATATATTCATTTGCTATTGAAGTTTCAAGAGTGAAGCCAAGGCAGCATGACATCCATCAACGATTAACATTTTTGCACAATGCAAGACTGTTTCATCTCTCTAATTCTCCAATCGTCAATAAGGCAGTTTAGTATTTCAAAAAGCCAAGGTCTTTCAGTGACAAAGCGCGTGTGAGACAGCATATGGCTGAGCTGTTGGGACAGACTATTGCTTGCGCAAGTAGCTTTTCCTGAATATCTTCAGACTGGGCATGTGCTGTTGGAAAACCAAATTGACTCATTTACAGGCTACTCAAATGAACTAAGTCCCCCATCCAATCAGTTTGGATGTGCTTAAACAACAGGAGCAACAAAGCATCAGCATTGCCAAGGCTGGTGTGGTGTGTAGCCTTCCGGCCAGGACTTCCATATTGGCTGCTGCCAATCCGGTGGGAGGGCATTACAACAAAGCCAAGACGGTGTCTGAAAATCTCAAGTAAGTCCTCAGTTTGCTGCATGCTGACAAAGTTAAACTGCCTCTTTCAGTGATGTTTTGTAAAGGTCTTCTTTATCTTCTGCAAACGTAACATCCACCAGGATGGAATGATATGTCAAAGGGATAACAAAGTATGCTGAGTCTCTAAAGAGTTATTTCCGGTCTACAAAATGTTGGCATATAAAAGCAAGCCAAGTTTTCCATGTTGTTTGGCCTTGTGTACATGTCAAAGCCTGTCATTGATTCCTATCTGACATACAAGCTTGCCAAGCCTCACCACAGCCCTCTCTTGTTTTTTTGTCTCCCATCCAGGATGGGCAGTGCGCTGTTGTCCAGGTTTGATCTGGTCTTTATCCTTCTAGATAAACCTGATGAAGAGATGGACTCCATGCTGTCAGAACATGTCATGGCCCTCCATGCTGGCAAGAAAAGGTATCCTAATGAACAACTGTCCTGTGAGAGTGTAAAGGAAGATGCAAAAAGTACAGTGAACTCTCAAGAACTCAAAGTTGGTTAACTCGAAACTCCACTTATCTCAAAGACATTCTTCATTCCTGCCAAAAGAAGAGGCTTTTATGAACAAAAATACCTCCGTAACTTGAAATGCCCACACCACTACATCCACTCAACTTGAAATTTTGTACTGACAATGAGTGGAAAAAGAACGTGGAACACTTAATTATGAGTCATTTCTGCAAACTGCGCTTCGTCTTTTTGCATGAGGACTCGAGCGTGTTTGCTGCCAGTGACATTGTAATTGCCTCAACGACCTCAACCTAAACAAATTCTGGCTTTCAAGCAAGCCTGATTGCCATCACGGCCCAATGTAGCCCGCATACGTGCAGTCCAATTCTTTACGGTAGCCATGTGACCGCACTGAAGGAAGCATTGTGCATATTGCAGCTAAAGCCTGGCTGCTACCACCTGCCCAATTTCAGCACTCGTGCGCTGCACTCATGCTGACAGACGTGTTCCTGGCCTGGTGCTGGAAATGCTGTTTTGCGTCACTAAATTCACTCAAAGTAAAAAAAAAAAGAAGGTAAGGGATTGAAAAGACAAAAAAAACCACACAAATATTTGTAAATTTTTTTTGTTAGCTTGAATGTTTTGAAATGCAAAATGGTGTGCCCTCAAGCAATCAAAAAGGAATTATCATGTGGCCAAACAGGAAAACCCCGGGCCCAGTTGGCCCTGGCCAATTGAGCAAACACAGGGCTGTGCGCTTTGCATCGCGGTGTGTGCTGTACAGAAGAATTTTCACAAAAAAGGACACAGTTTTGGTAGGTTATGTTTTATGTATCAGTAGAATAAAAATTTTCCGTTAGAAAAACATGAAATCTCAGCAAACTAATGATGTTTAAAGGAAATTTATTCTTGGATATTAGGAAATAACCATGTATGACGTCACCAATAGCCACCGCGGGGGCAAGTAGGGTCACTCGTGTACTGTGCGTGTATGTGTGGGCAAGACTCGGGAACTTTCAAATCCGGATGACCCCTTAGGTTTGAGTTATCAAGAGTTTACTGTATTATGTATCTGTTCCCCATCCCACAGGCTTCATAATTTGAAAAGGTCAGTGAAGTTAACTTGAAACTGTATAGTTCAAGCAGTAGTGATAAAGGTGTTCTGTGAAAGGATTGCAAACAAGCACAATATAGTTTGGAGGATACACTGTCGTTCTTGTATTGGAACTGCTTGCCTGAGAATAGCCGTTGCCTGTGTGTGATGTGACCGTGCTTAGAATCCTGTCAGTTATCTGTCTTCAACGGTCTCCAGGCCAACAGAGGGCGCTCATTCCTCAGCAGACGATCGACCTACCGATCCTGAGCAAGCCCAAGCCCTGCAGCTCTTGGAATCCGATCGGCCATTGTCGGAGCGTCTCAAGATCAGCAGGGGCGAGGCCTTTGATCCAGTCCCACCTCAGTTGATTAGGAAGTACATCGCCTACGCTAGGAAGTATGTCCATCCCAAATTGAGCAGTGAGGCGGCGACCGTGCTACAGGTCAGTGGATTCTGCAGAAAGTGTTTAATGTGACCAGTACCACCACAGAACAATTTGTCTTTAGTGCGTTGGCTTCGTAAGGCATAAGGATGGCATCTGCTTCTGTTGCGTTATCGCTGTCCCTACACATATCATGTTTTTAGACTAATTTTCATGGGACCTGTAATGAGTGCGTGTAAACACTTATATTAAATGACAACTCCAATTTATTTGGAAACAAAGCCTGTATTTCCCGTTTGTACTGCAGACATATTTATTTAACGTGACCTCCAAAATGATACGCATAATGAACAGTGAATCTCTGTTCACTAACTTCTTGACAGAACTTTTACCTTGAGCTGAGAAGACAGCACAAAGGTCGAGACAGCACCCCCATCACCACCAGACAGTTGGAATCACTCATCAGACTCACTGAGGCAAGGGCCAGACTAGAATTGAGAGAGAAAGCTGAACAACAAGATGCTGAGGATGTAGTAGAACTCATGAAGTTCAGGTACAAGACTTTGTTGCATTTGCAGGTGCAGCCTGATAGTGCGCATCAACAATCTTTGGTAGGATGTACTCATGTTTCACCTTTGACATTCCGGAATTACAATGTTCCAGAGTATCGTCATTACAATGTGCAGTTCACCAGGGAACTAACTGGTTATTCTTTGGTTCTTTGCCAGTATGATTGACACTTACTCTGATGAGTTTGGGTTTCTGGACTTTCAACGATCTCAACATGGGTCGGGTATGAGCAGTCGCTCCAAGGTAAGATTGCTTTGACAAATTGCAATGTTACATCCAGCAAACTTTTGAATCTTACAAGTTTGAGTACCAGAACTTTGAAACCTGCCTTTCAAGAGTGTAATAATTATCGAAACAAGATCTGTTCAATAAGCCATTTGTGAGTTAAATTTGAATAAAATCTGGTACACTGAGTTATCTGATTGCACATAAACATAACAATTTGAATTCCCCAGACTAATGACTCTGTTGCTATACCTTGTGATTCGGGGCAAGCTTTTGCTTAGTTACCACCATCTCTAGACTGGACTGGTTCCTTTGTGCCCTTCTTTCCCATTGAGAACAGTGTATTGTTGCAAGGCGTCTCTTAAGTAACTAAGGAAAATCTTGCCCCTAATCACGAGGTATAGCAACAGTATAGTATGGAGAATTCCAATTGTTATGTTCATGTGAATTTAAAGAACTCAGTGTACCAGATTTTATTCAAATTTAACTCGCAAAAGGCTTATTGTCAGGTTTCTGCCTTTTTACCCATTGAGAAGCTGAAGCTTTTTGCTGCATATATATACTTTTTTTGTTTTCCTGAAGTTTTCATAAGCGCTTTCCTGAACTTTTATGAGCATAGTTGCAGTTGTGCCTAGATCAAATGTTTCCCTTGTTTTTATCTTTCGAGGCTAAGCGCTTCATTGCTGTGTTGAATAGGGTAGCTGAACAAACCTACAACTCACTGTTCACAGTGCAACAGATGAGGGAAATAGCACGGGTGAGTGATTGCCCTGTTAACTAGCATTGCTGTACTTATTACAGGATAAGTTGAAAGCCGTCTTTATACTCTTATTTTGTTGGGGTTAATGTTTAATCATTCCTAAAGCTCCAGATCTGGCATGCTGCAGGAGCTGGCTGACTCACCAGCTGGCCGGCAGGAGTGTAATTGGCTGGATGAAAAGTTGGGGGTATCACTTGTAGTCAGATCACTTCATTTGTTTTGGATGTGGTGTCAGTCATCAGCCAGCCTGTAAACTGTCTGGATTACTTCATGCTGGGTCAAGTGTTTGTGTGTGCACTTGCGTGTAGTTACTTTGAGTTCTATGTCTACACTTACTTGTGAGTGATCTGTTGCGAGGCTGTAAGTTCAGGTGCAAACTCTGTGCTGGATGGTTGGGTGGCTGGTTTGAAAGTGATTTCCCAGTGCGCATACCCACTTGTTTGTCAGAAATTAGTGATTAGTAGTTTAGGCTGTCTTATTTCATCTGACTGGCCTACAAATGTTGGAATTGGATAATGTTTTAGAACTTAGGAAAAGATCTGTTCTTTTGAAATGCCCCACTCCATCGACAAGGTATTCCTATTGGAAGTTTTGGTAAATGGTAAATGTTTTATGTACTATGTACAAACACCTGTTTTTCCTGTTTTTCGTCCACTGTTTAATTCTTCTTGGGAAGGGATATATTCCAAATGGAACCAGGTGGTATCATTGCTCTAAATGGGAATCTGAGTAAACAAATGCATGTTAAATGGAAAAAACTTGAACAGATACCAAATAGCATGCAAATTGAGTTCCTTTGAAACAAGTGTTAACAACTTGCTACGTTGTTGAATGTGGAACTGCTTATTGTTTGGTTACAGGATGCGAACATCAGTGTCCCAGACTTTGAAGGGTTTGTAGCCTCTCTCAACAACCAGAACTATCTCCTAAAGAAGGGACCAAGGGTCTTCCAGCTGCAGACAGCATCATGGTGATATGAGCACTGCCTCTTCACACAAACCGGTATATCCCTCAGTTTGGACTTCTTCTTTCTTGAAATGTGATTTGAGTTGCACCTGATTACAAATGTGTTCATTGAGCAACAGGTTAACATGTAGAGTAAGACGTAATCAACATGTTGTCATGTGTTAAAAATGTAAAGTTCCATTATGTTTTGCTTTTTCCATTCTTTTTGACAAATTTCAACATCTGTATGTATTCAATAATGGGAATAAAAGCCCGCATGGAGATTTTTTTGTGAATCTAAGTAAAGCATACGGCCACTGTTGAATGATCTCTTTCCCCAATGGTCACCAGAGGGCGCCTTTTGGGTAGATTGAATCAACTCTTGCATTGTACTTGGGTTGACTTCATCTCTTGTTAAAAGATATGATTTTTAACGTAGCAGTGATCATAAAAGTTTTCTGACAAGTTTACTGATTTGGGACAAGCACTGTGCCAATTAGATAAAAACCGATATTTAAAAACTGAATTAGGAGATCAAAGTAAGCTTAGCAATTTGCAGTTTTGCCCCCCCAAAATTTAAGGAATAATCTACATTTATATGAAAATGTTAAACTCTCATCTAACCTTTGCTAACAAGAAAGGTATCAGACCAGGCCCACTGAATCTAGAATCCATTGGCTACAGGTTGATAAATCTTCAGAGCATGATAGGGTGGTGCCATGTAAAAACCCCATAGGCGGGCTGAGCGAGGGTTCCTGAAGCTCACCATGTGACCTTTGACTTTGAGGCTGTCTTTTCCCAACCACTCCTGTGGCAATTGTGTAAACACAGCAGAGAACATGGGTACCTGCTTGTGGGATAATGGGATCAGTCATGACCTGTTCCTTCAAAACCCTGGCAAAGGAGCTACCAAAAAAATGAACTTTTCTTTTTGAGTTCTCCGGATAATGTAGCTTTACAATAATACTGTGCACTAGTTCACCCCTCCATACAATCCCATGAGAAGGGATTTCAATCATATCATAGCCAGTGGCATAACATGGGCGAAATGTCTCGGGGGACCTGAGGGTGCACTCATATTTTCAAGGGGACACCACAAGAAAAATAAGCTTCAGCTGCATTTCAATGGAAAGTGTTCACAGATTTCATATGAGTGCCCCCCCCCTAGTTATGCCATTGATCATTGCCCAACCTGTTAATACACTTTTAATAAAAATCTTTGTACTTTGCCAGTCAAAGTTTTGATTAAAGTGTTTCAGGAGTTGTTAAATGCAAAGATTGGTCAGTCCGGTGGTTTCGGTCTAAGTTAGGGTCAATATTTGACTGCTCTATTTCAAGAATATGTAGAGCATGTAGACTGAGACCATGCATTTCAACAGAAACTGGTAGTTAATGCTGGGCCCGCACAAAATGCTTCAGTCTGTACACCCATGTAGTGTTTTCCTACCAAAGGCGTATTGTTCTTAAGTAATAACATGCCATCTCTTGTTCCTGCAAGGAGCGGGTACATCCCTTGGACTATAGCCTACAAAGTCCCCTTTTAAATAATTTCCCAGGTAGGATCATGCAGCTGATTCCACCATGCTCTCATAATCCAAATCATTTCTGACAACCAGATCATGTAACAGATGGATGTCGGCCACCCCTGAGCCTTTCTAGGAAAATGTATTTGTGTTGTTCACTAACACAAACCTCTTGCGGTTTTGTGGACTGGCTAGGGTTGAAAGATTCAAGTCCTTGAGTTGAGATGCTTTCTGTTAGTGGTGATTTTCAGTCTCATTGCAAAAGTCTCTGCTGATAGATCTGGGAAGTACTTGTAAATAACAGGATGCATAACAACAAGCGCACTGTACAATAACCCTTGCGAACGTGCGGAAAGCCACAACAGCCTGTGTACATTTCGTCCGCAGACTTAACACTAATCAGTAAATGTGGGTCAAGTGAAGGGTTACTGGAGTTGGATAGTTCCTCTGATGTCCCGAGATATGACCAAGTTCAACAGCATTGCGACAAAATTCTGACGAAATCCTGCCTTGTCGAGAAAGCCTGGGATTTGATGTTCAGGGAAAACAGTTCGGTGTCGGTGCAGCCTTTTGCTGTCACCCCAATTTTATAGCTACTTTTATGTGCATGACTTCAAGACAAATTTTGTTTTATTCAAAAGGCATTTATTTAGTTGAGTAATCTGTCAGAAAATATAATAAGGGAAATTTTACAGATTTAGAGTTCTTTTTTTCCAGCAATTTGGCTAGCCATATATTGAATATTTCACATCTTTACCGCCATGTGTTATTGGTTCATTTTACCGTCCCAAACAATTTGTAACTATTCATTAATCAGTTAGTCAATTTCACAAAGGACTTTTAAACGTATGTATACACTTGTCCATGTACATTTAACATTTTCCATGTCTGCTCAATAACTCAGTTTCAAATTGTTTCAATTCTGGAAGGACAAGTTTCACAAAATGTCAATATTACAGTTTAGTGAAATTCTGAAACCTGAAATCTCAACTCCTAGCACCACCCTGAAGTTTGAGTTACTTCACAAAACAGTTTCTTACTTCAGGTCAATTTTCTAACCCTAAAGGTAGCTTATGAAGATAGTATCATAATGGGGGCTACCCTAAATGCTAAATTGCCCAGTGATTCGGCAAGTGAGTTTCCTGTCATTACCACTACCTTGTTGTCATTACCGGTTCTTTAAGATTTTTTTTTTTTATCCAATATTCATTCCACTGGGAAGAATTCTGTCTACTAGTACTGTAGAAGGTCATCCAAAACAGCTAAAGAATGGCCAAATGAAGATCAATACTATGTAGAGTCTTGTGCAACATTCAGGGTATAAATTCCAGAATTTACACAGACTCTTACAACATAAGACTTGATCTCCCTTCGGCTGCAGACAAGGACATACATTACATGGCCATGGGTTAGTTTTTCACAGCAGAATTTTGAAGTACATCAGGTTTTCTGTTGCAATCCTGAACAACTGTTTTACATATCTCTGTATATGTTTTCAAGGATTTCATGATGAAGTGTGCCCTTTTAAGAAAAAAGGCTTTCATGCTGCTCAACATTTGTGTTTGTGTGGCATGTCGGATGCACTTTCTGATGAATCCACCTGAAGCAGTCTCACATGTTCCTTTTTGAAAGGTTCATTTCCAGGGATGGTGGTCGCAAGTGGTAACCTTTCAACTCTTTACTCCTTTCCAACTAGAGGTTGGCTTGTTCAAATAGCCCAGTAACAGATAGGGCGATACTGCTTTCTCTGATGTTGAAAGATTCCATTTGAGATGTTAGCTACTTCCTGCTATATGCACAATGGCACATCACTTAGATGTGTTAATCACGGACGTGTATAATAAAATCTGGACTCGCGATGCCCTTAATCAGCTTGTAGAGTCATTGAATCCACTCGCGGCCATTTTACCAAGCCGAATACAAAGCTTTCCTGGCAATGTCCGCCTTTGTTCTTCCAGACGTCAAAAGAAGGGAGCCAACCCATGCTCTTATATTCGGCTCGGTAAAATGGCTGCTGTTCGGCTTCTTTTTCATACAAAGGCATTGCGAGTCCAGGTTTTTTATATACGTCCGTGGTGTTCATAGCCACTTCATGATGGTGGACAACCCAAAGAGTGATGAGGCTCTCCAGCATCTGTACTGGACTAAAAGCAGCGGCAGACAAGAGACGCTTGGCCTCAACAACCAATGCACCTGCTGCTATAGAGAAAGACTTCACAGATATCCCTGTCTCCAATTCAAATTAATGCTTAAGAGAGTACAATGCATGCTGAGGTAGAGGGTTCCGAACACAAACACAAAAGGAATACCCGGTGTATTTGTTTACCGTGCCTACGATCACTAAAGACTTAGCACAATTTGCACCACAACGGGGAACTACACAGGACCGCTGAAACAGGGCAACAATATTCTGTCATTTTTCATTTAATACAGAAGAGTGGTTTATTAGTTTAGGAAAAAACTGTCAGGACTTATTCAAGTAAAATTACCTCCCTGGCCTCACCACAATTGTATTAATAATAACGTATATTTGTTCAACAATTCCTCTTCACCTGTGCTGTAACGGTAATAATAAAAACACACTTATAGCACCACACAAGGGAGCAATTTTTATAAGACTGTCAATTTCTTAGAAGTTAATACATAATTCAGCCAATTCTGAAGGCAACAAACTAATACAGCAATTACAGCTACAAGTCTGCTCATTTTAGCAACATATCAAAGGCAGTACAATTTTACTTTATTCATTTTCACAAAACAACCAAAATGACCACTATTTCAGATCTTATTTTCTTCAAACGTAATATATACTTCTGCCTGTGCAGTCTAATCAATACTGAACACCACAGTAGTCTTGGAAAGCCAAAAAACCTCATAAACCTCATAATTTTTCCCCCCTTTTCTTCCTGTACAATAACTTCAGAACAATACAACACAGGAGCATTTAAGATCATTCAACAATTCTTTTCCATCCCAAATACCACAGTCTGATCAATCTTAGTGAACAAGCTAATGAAAGTGAACACAAGGAAACACTACTGACAAACGTCATCAATTTCCAATAATCTCACATTTAGGATTACATTTCCTGGTCAGGTGTACATTAATTGTTACTACAGAAGTCGCCAACAAAAAATGCCCGTTAAAGAAGCTTTAACCCTCTGCACGGTTGTGTATCTTTTTTTCTTCCCTCTCTCTTCACAATCCAGGAATAAATAACACAACTAAAGTTATGTTTTCAGGTGGGACATTTCTGACAGCGTTGCGCTCGTTGAATGCCATGCATGCAACTTTGTGTGGTGGACAGAAACTCCAATGTATTTAAGGAACTTAGAATCTAAAGGTTGGCAATTTACAGCATTTTTTACATGAGAAATATGTGGTGCAACAATGGTTGATAAAAAAGTTTGTGCTGCTTTGGCAAAAACAAATTGAAAATTTAAATTACGAATGTTTTTAACTTAAAATCCAGGCGGTACATGTATACAGGTGCACAAGCTCTTACTGGAAATTGTGTTGAATGAACCGGAGAATAGAAAGGGCCACAAATTGAATCTTAAACCGAAATGACCCAGAAACCCTTTTGAACACGAGTATCAGCCTTACACTTATCGTATTAAAAATAGTTCTACAAAATATGTCTTTGTGCGGGAGAGTCGGACATTGCTACGTTTTTATTTTAATGTTAACAATCATGAGTGAATTCATTGCATACTTTACCATGTAAATAAACTAACCGTAATGCAAGCAACGCCAGAGATGCCTAATGTGGGGGAAGGGAAGAACAGGCCCCACTTTATCATCTGTCATTGCAATGGTGAAAGCGCACTCTTTACTTCAGTCACAACATCAACAGTGCATCCTTTTTGAAATGTAGTAAGAGAGGACCTAAGGCAGTAATCAAGGAAGGAAAAGAATAAGAAATTCCAATCTGCACAGGATGCTTGTGCAGGTTTTTTCTATGTTGCAACGACATGCATGAGGGAAAGAAGAGGACCTCTGTTAGTCTGAGGGAAAAGCTCTTCACACCCAGGGCCTATTACATAGTGCTACAGTCTGAGCTAAACATTTGGTTAAGCACAGAAAATATTTGCTTAGCCAAAAACAGTGGTTAGCAGTCAACATGTCACATGATGTACAGTCTGTGCCACTGGTTCCAGGGATGAGATTATCATTTTAAAAAATGTCTGAAACTGGGTATCAAAAGTCTGCAAGGTGCATTTCTTCCTATACCAATAATGTTTTCTATCAGATTCAAAATGTCTGAATTCAGACAAAAGTCTGAAAGATCTCTTGCGTCTGGTTCTCCACTGGTCTGGACTTTGCACATAAATTTGCTGACCAATATTTTCTGTCCATGCCAATTGCATGAAATGGATTCCAGACCTGTGTTCCCCAGACCCAATCCCAAATGCCATCAAAACACTGGACCGCCAGAAATGTTCAAGATTGTCCTAACTCCTGCTTATAAAGCATCACATAAGATTCTTTGAACCCTAACAGGGCTAAATCCTCAGATTTCAATATGATTTTACACACACCCTAGAGAGTTAGGATTAGTTAATACAATGACAAGATAGACAATATATCCCATAACGGAACTTCACCGTTCAGATAATTCAAGAAAGCTAAATACTACTTCATAATATAGGTTTAATATCTTTCAGAACATTTAGTGATTTGAGGGAAAATCTCATCTTGGGAAATATATGCCCTTTCCTGGCTCGAAAGGTCTGGAACACTATATTCGAATACCACGATCATGGCACAGCACCATGAACTTGGAGCAAAGAGTATGAGGCGAAAAGTAAACATACATGGTATGTATTAAAAACCAGAGTCCCAACTGCAAATGATTAGCAGTTCAAACTGCATGTTCATGTGGACATGAGCGTTAAGGGCACTCATTCAAAGTGTGCATTTGCAACTTACAGACGTCCAGGATGGACACTGCTCTGCATTTTTAAAGCACCATGGTACACAACTACAAAATGTGTATGAGGTCACATTCACCACAGGCATTCAGATTGGCAGACCATCCTGTGCTGGCAAAGTGTCTATAAGGGCACATTTGAAGTTTGCTGTGGTACGCATTTAGGCATTCAAACAATGTATAAGAACACAGTCAACGTGCGTGCGACAGCACACGCCATCCACTCATTTACAGTACTAAAATATATGATTCATAGTTGGTCACCAACACACTCTATGTACATTTACTATCTTTACACAAATGTTCGTCTGCTGACATTGTGCTGTTGTCGGCGACAGAGGCTGTGTTAGCATTTGTTGTGGCAACATTACCCCCTCAGGGTACGTCCAGCGCCCGCAATAACTCTTCGCCCTGTAGCAGTCCCGCCGAGGCCTGCAGGGGCGTGTTGACGTCTAGGTCCTGTCTCGTGATCAGCGGCAGGCAGCTCAGGAGGTTGTTGCTGTCCACCAATCCGTCCTCGGCATCACCTGGCGAGGGCTGGGCCTGGAAGAGAGGGAAGTGTTCCTGACCGCCGCTAACAGAAAGCAAGGACTTACTGGCGTCAGCCTTGTTGGTTCCACCACTACCTACTTGTTTGTTGACCACCTGCCGAGTAAAACAACACAAACATGATTAGATGAAAAGAAATTACTTGATCACTTATCAAAACGAGTGGTTTTTATAACCTACAGAGAAAATAAACTATTTTGTTCCTTTTTGGAAATATTTTGAAGGAGGGTTTATATGAAGAAAATTCTGGGATCACTTCATCACCGTTCCATCTGCTAAAAACGCTAACACTCTTAAAACAAAAGAATCTTTACGGTTCATGCCCCTACCAAGTGCACTTTATGTACATGAAAATTTCTTGACAAAGGTTCTTGACATATATGTCCCTGCAAATTGATATTTACTCCATGATTTAGAGGGTCACTTCTAAATCAGCATTTTCTTCAAAACCATTTACCTTATCAATCTCCACTGCCCTATTGACAACTGTACTCTTTTATATGAGTAAATCAGTCCGTTAAGAACTTTATAGCATAAACATCTGTCAACGATGCACACAAGAAAAGAAATCCAGGATCAAATCCTGGAAGGCATAGGCAGACAATACAAGAGGAACATTTTAATGATGTGATTAAATCCTGTACCACTAGGGCTCAAATCAGAGGAAGTACGTGGCAACGTACAGTTCCTGCTAAATGGACACGAAGCTCAGGGTGTCTTGTTGAAGGAGAAAACCCGATGTCTCACCTGTTGAGCGACTTTCTGTAGGAGCAACGAGTGGCCAAAGTGATTGTTGATGCTTCTACCAGCTGGTTGCAGCAACAGTGACTGCAGACTGCTTATGTCTTTGCCACGTCCTGGATAGAATTCACAGAAATTTAACAATGTTCAACACTATTACTTAATCAGTGGGGGAAACTTTTAAGGTGTTTTACCAGATGAAAGTCAGCAAGTCTGGACATGTTAATTTCGCTGGCAGATTCAGGATGTTAGGTTTCAACTGATTGGCTTTATTACCAAATGGACTATTTAGCTCCTGCCAATCCTTCAGCCAAAACTTCAGCTCATTTCTAATCCCTGCTTCTTCCTTCTCTGTTACAGTGATCACTAGGAACATTCCAGGGAGCCCAAAGAGTGAATCAATAAGTTATTCACATGATGTTTAGAAGGTGAATCTCAAACCTGCTTCGTTTATGCCAAGTCTTGAATGGGTTGTACCAGTCTATTTCTAGTCATTGCAAGATTTCCAACATGACTTTCTATTATCATTAGAAAATCGCTCATGGGGAGTAATTAATCCATTTTTTTCCAGCACTATATCATTTCCAATTGAATTATTATTTGTCTTAAGTTTTCAATAAAAACCATTTGCATGAATAATTTTATTGTTGAGTTCCAGATGACTTAACCACAAATAAGGCACATACACTGCAGCACTGCAGAATTCTCAAGCAACAAGATGGAAATACCAAGCTTTGGGTTTGGGATGAAATTCCCCCAGGCTGACTTTTAAGGTACACAAATCCAGGTTCCGCATAGCAAGCCAGGCCAGATTCTATTGAAAGTCACAAGTGCTGAGAAGCAAGGAAAGAAAGTACCACTGCATCCTACCTGGAGGTTGTAATGCATCCAGTTCCAGGCCCCCCTTAGAGACGCTCCATCCTCTGCCACCTCCTCTCCCTCCTGGACTGTTCCCTCCCCCCAAATCTGTCCCTCCATCGTTTAGTCGAGCCACTTTGTACTGTCTGGCTCTCTTGTTGCTCCGAGTCTCTAGTTTCCTCTTCAGGGCTTGCTGTACCTCCGGCCTTGGGGGATGCTTCCCGCTGGAGAAACTGCTGTAGTTCTCTGTGGAGGCTGGGCGTCCAGCAGGGCTGACGAGGGGTGAACAGGTCTGCGGAGACATAGGCAGGAGAGGGGGAGGAGACTTGTTGGTGTCCCAATAGCTGGTAGGCTGCCCTGTGGCTGAGGTCGGCCCAGGGTGGTCATCGTCGCGAGCCAACCACAGGTTAGGCAGGCTCTGGCAAAGCTTATTGACGGGTGACATCACTGACTGGGGACTGAACGGTGACCGTGACTGTGGACTATAAGGCGTGCTAGGAGCAGTAAGGGCACCAGACGATGGACTCAGTAATTCTTGCTTCTGGTCTTTGTACGACGGTGATATCACTGAGTCCATGTAGCCATTGCTGTTCCTATAAATTGAATTAAAAATTTGTTGTGTGCCAAGTATGTAGGAAATATGAACAAAGGGGAAATCTTCGGACACAAAGGAAAATGAGAAACGTTTGGCACAATCAAGTAGAGTCAATGGTTAAAATCCCTAACATGCCTAAAGGTATATTTCTGAGTTTCTAATATTTATCTAGGACTATGACTTCAAAATGCACAATCTAAATTATCAAGTACACAAGGAAACACACAAAAAACACTGAGTGGTTGTCTTGAAAACATGGTCTGTACAAAAGTAACTGAACTGTGCTTTTTCTCAAACCATCCAAAGGTTGCTCCATGAATTCATGTTAAAGTAAAGGTGAATTGAATTTGTGTACCTCAGCAACTGTAATTTTGTTGACAAGGTTTAAAATCCCCATTTGCAACTTCAGTTTGCTTCATAATTCTATACAGTGTGAACTGGTCTTAATAATGCTGAAACAGCACATGTTGAAAATAAGCAATATAACTTAATGGCTTATAATTACCACATGTTGACTTTAACAGTGCAAGTGGTACTCTATCAGCAATTCCAAATCCACCATTTCGCAGATTCCTCTAATTAAAGTTACACTCCTCATGAAGCCACTTACATGTTTCCAAAAAGGTCCACAGGTTCCCAAGTCTCAGCCAGCTGCGTGTCAACCATGAGTTTGTCTCCGCCAAAGTCCAAGTCATCACTCATGGAGATGTATGGCGCCCGCATTGACAAGTCATCAGCGTGAAGTTGGCCACCAGCCTGGCAAATAGCAAATAGATAAACAAGAGATTGGGATTTCTGTTTGCTTGTTTAATTTGTTTTGTTTTTTTGGAGCAGGCAGAATAGCTGCATTCCCACCTTATGCTTATCAAGAGTGAATGGCATAGCTGGAGTTGTTTTCCCGAGGCTGTGTTTGTGGCTGGTAGTAATACAGGTGTCTATGAGACATGAATTAAGCCACTGGCCAAATGGCTTATATTAGCACAAGTATCATTAACAGCCATAGCCGCAATGTTTTGATGCAGTCTTCATTTGTGACCAACATGTACCATTCTGCATTTCAAAACCAGGCTCAAGGCTCCTTAGCTATTGTATGGGAAATGACATTACACATATGAACAATGCAAATTTCACAACTTTCACAGCCTGTTACTACCAAAGCTTTCTGCAGACAACATCTGCACCATGGATCACTCTGAAGTTTGAAAGTTAACGGTTGGGAAAGCAGGCATGGTCAAACATCTACATTATGCACTAAAACCTGATTACGGAATGGTAGGTCACATTTTGTTTCTGGAATGGGGGGGGGGAGTGAGATTCCAATCGGTGTATTGTGTGTTTCACAATGACAGTGTCAGAACTCACCTCTGTGGTGCAGTCCAGCATGAGAGGGTCTTTACTCGAGCTCATGGGAGAGTTCTTGTCAGGGAGAATCAAGTCAGGTGTCACCACCTTCCTGGCAGGTGATTCCTGGAGATGACAAAACAAGATCCCCAAAATTTAGAAATATGGAAGGCAGGTCAGTTTATCACCAACTGACTATTGGGATAATGACATCCTTTCACCATCTGCTTGCAGCACTCTTCAGCCCAAAGACCATGGTGCACGTGTCATTTCATGGTCACCTGGCATTAACTGCATGGGAAACAGCACATGCCACGGTGTCAAAGCTGTAACAGCCTAGCTAACTTGTGGAATTCTGTGCTTGCAAGACTTGGTACTGAAATTATTCATGAGATTCACGCATGCACGCAATCAAGCATCCCTTGTTACCCTGCGAACTATGCAAACCACACATGCAGGAGTTCCTGCCATGACTCGGCAAACATATATTGTGTACAGCAAGCAGAGCTATGACACTGTGCCGAGCTTGCCTGTATGGCTCCACTAGGAATTCAACAACCATGAGAACGCACATCCACAGACTTGGACTTTACAAGATACTTCCTGACATTGCTCTGTACTCAAAAACTCAAACATATCCTCACATCATCCCATTTCCACTCAACTTGGCCATATGACCATGAAAATGTAACAATTCGTACTGATTCTAACTCCCTAGGTATTCTTGCTCAGAACCCTCCAGAATTCTTCAAAGTATGAAGCAGGGAAACCAACGGCAGGCTCTCTGTACTCAAACTTTCTAGATTCATCAAGCTCATGACAGTAAATGTAACTGTAAACTCTCTCTAAACCTCCTGCTGAATTTTGAAGATTCTGGGAGGGTGGGGATTCTCTTTCCCTAACGATGACCAGCTGCCACAAAAACACTTCAGTCTGCTTAGTATTTCACTTCTTTCCTCACCTGGTTTGTCATGCCTCCCCCGTCACTGGTTTGCTTCTCATCGGCACTGGGGGTCAATGGAACAAATGGGAAAAACGGCACAAACTCCTGCTGGCCATCCATCTCGGGTTTGGGAATATGGTCACTCTCGGTGATGGGGACAGGGGGGCTTGGGAAGTCTAGGGGGACCATAGCATTACCAGCAGTCGGGGCCAAGTAGGTCAAATCCTCTGCGTTCACCACATTACCTGACAAACAGAAATTAAAACACAGTCATTAAAACTCTTGAACATAGACAAGTCCAATGTTACCAAGCACCACATTTTATTTGAATGACAACTCTACATCCTAAATATTAAAGAACATCCAAAGTTCCATAAAAACTTGTTATCAACAGAATCAACGTATACTCTGGAAGCCCTATGATAAAATGCTTGGAACCAAATTAACCTTAAACCTTTTAAGGTCAGATTTCATTTCCAGAAATTTAACGTGCACAGTTTGCTCAAAAGCACACTCTCAACTGTCAACTGAACCAAGTTGGATTCATTTTAACAGAGCTCAGACCTAATTGGTCTGCCCATTGCATGCAAATCAGTAAGTAACATCCCCTCATTACCCAAATCTGCCCAATGGTAAAGTACTACCTTACAGATGAGAAAGATGCAATTAATCGATTTTCGACTGTACAGATATCCACATGAAATTGAGTTGGCGAATCAATTTGGGAGGGAAACTACTTTAGTCCCCTGTGACGTATCCCACAAACCAAGCAGACAGCACAACGCTGCTCCACATTCTCTCAACCATGTAATCCCTCAGATGCTGGGTCTTTGGCTATCAGGTCATTTGGAATTCCACAGCCCAAAATACATGTATCCCGCCTTAGGGCAATGAACGCCTGACACATTCAACCCAGATTTGCCTTCATCGTGGCATGCCCAATTGCAAGTAAGGTAATCCACACTGATTATTCCTTTCATGCATGTGTAACTCATTGGAAAGGTCAGACAGATTACAACCCTGGGCCAGATCTTTTTTCCTATCCAAATACACACAGGGATCCTCTTCAGATGTGATGGTTGAAGTTAAAAATTGCTGACTAACATTCAGTTCCTTCAAGGTCTCCTGCTTATAAAGGTACTTCATTTTCAGACATGGCAAAGCACCACGCATCAACTTTCCATTTAGGTATTAAGATGCTGCCAAATCCAAGCATATTTGAGACAGGTTTAACCACAAGTAAAAAAAAAAAACACAGGAGGAAGGATTGGGAAAATAAGGCTGTGCAACCCATTTTGGTGAAGCAGACCATACACTTGATGAATACACATGTTAAGTCAATATTACCGGTCCAAAAAAACATCTTCAAGTGATGTATCTCCAATTTGGAGTATAAAAAACCATCTGTGAGACCGTCAGGTGAGCTTATGTTTTTACTTCCACAGACTGTCCGGTATGCTTAGGCCATTACAAACTATTCTGCTATAGATTCGCCACAGAGGCAGAGTTAATGTGTACTTAAGAAGTGCACTTCAGCCTAAGCAGGTTTCATGTTGTCCTTGCTCTGTCAGCATCAGCAACACTGGACTTTTGATAAAAACCAAAAAACCCCTTCAGCATGGCTGACACAAGAATGATTTTCAGTTGAGCAGTAACACAGCAAGAACAGCAACAGTGCATCAACTGGCAATCTTCTGTAAGTTAAAATGCACTGTGGCAGGAGGCGGCGGCACAGTGAACGCAAGGTACTCAAACGATATCAAACCAAAAAGAAGAAAACTTCAGCCTGCTGGATTGGAGAGGTCAGGGAAGGGGGGAGGAATGTCAAGTGACAACTCAGAGATTAATTAGTACTCCATGAGATAGAGTTGTAGTCAAGACAGTCCCAAGAGATACAGCAAACGATCAAAATGGAATCCTTTTGTTGCAGTACATGTGAAGAGCCTGTGAATGGAATTCAGACTGGAGGTCTCGTACTGGTCTTGCCATGGTCTTAGAAGGGTCTTGACTACAACCCTGCTGTGAGAAGGATTACTCAGACAGATGAAGCTGTACTTACTCTTTGATCCCGTCAAGTAGAGAGGGAATTCATCATCATCCATGCCATCAGGCCGAGGCATGAAGGTCTTCTCTGTGCTCATCTGCATGGCTTCATCCAGCTGGTGAGTTGCAATCACTACATCCTCATCCTCAATGCCACTAAGGAACAAAAGAGAATGTGTCAATCTCCCAATAGTCTGTAATGATCTTCTTCCGAGCATCTCCATGTGAGAATGATCATCTCTGCGGAACTTTGGTGAAAGATGGGCATTGTACCAGGGCAAGTCTTTTTTCCCAAGTTCACCCAGGATACTGAGCTATCATGTATGATTGGAAGCAAGCACGGAAAAAAAACAACACAGTACAGTCTGGCTACCCCGGCTTATGATTTTGAGTCACAATGTAACCACTTTGAAAACGAGAGATTGAACATGTCAGGGTACTGGCTCAAGTTGAGTCTGAGTCATTTCAAAACTAATATTTCTGCTTGTCTGTGACAACCGTGTGTTCAAACACTCATGTTGTTGTTCATGCAAACTCAAAACATTCCTTCAACACAACCTCTGTACTTAGGTTTGAATCTGAATGTACTGTCTTATGTTCACACAGGTATACAATTTCTGCATGTGCTGAATTGACACTATAAAGAAGTTTGGACATGTGAACTAATTGAGGTATGTGAACTTAACAGCAAATTCTCACTCCAAACTTAGTGCTCCAGCATCGGCTCTGAAACGAAATGAACAATCGTTCATTTCCTCTCTCCCTCTCCAAAAATGTTACAAGCACAACATTTTGCAGTTTGAATTAAAACAATACAAAACCCTCAAAATACATACAGCTTGGTCAATGACCTCCATTCAAACTGCAACATCCCTTGAAGAGGAAATTGCACTTGGTTCAATGTAGATCAGTTCCTAACCTGATCATGTAGTTGATGCAGACCACGCACTGTGGTTTGTTGGTTTTGTTGTTGTAGATGATAGTAGCCTGCGTCTCCATCCAGGCATAGCCACTCTTCTTGGCAAGGAAGCGAAAGCGTCCACTCGTAGCTTGTCCCTTGGCAAACACTGCAAAGAAGATCGCAGAGCCAAGGAACAGGGTAAATTGTTTTCAGTGTAACCAAGAACAGTTTTGCTTATTAAAACGTTCATTTTGCAGGTTTCAGAAAGTAAAAATGTATTCCCTTTTTTCAGTGACTTTCCATCCAAAGAGAGCACATGTTAACATACATAGTAATATACAAATATTGAAAGATCTACTCTATGCTGGCAGAATGCTCAGTTGCATTTTTGTTTCTGGGAAAATCATTCTTTCTCTAACACACCGGAAGGGATGACGTTAACAGCTACCTTTTCATTGTTCAGATTTTGCCTGTGATCCATGCTTTCCAAATAAATATTAATGAGATACTTTCGAACTAAAACCAGGAAGGTATTATTCAATCAAGGAAAAGCCTGACTATATTTCCAAGTACACTGCTGCACGTCAGTTATGGAGAGAACCACTCATGAAACCAACTGATTTGTGCAAAAGGAAATGATATGTATGCATCATGCATGCTGGTTGAAAGTGGACTGCTCAGAATATACACAGAGTTTATTTGTCATTTAAAGTGTTGTTCTTTCTATATTGATGTACATGTAGGCAGCACAGTTGAGTAATCTTATTAACATTTTCAACTTGGCTGAATTACCGCTATTTTTTCAAAGACAGCTGGTCATTTTAGCTGTGCATTTTGGAACCAGAAGGTTAAGGCAATGAAAGCAGGAAGGTATAAAACACAAGGCTTCCCAACAGGCTTCCTTGAATGCACTGACAACTATGCCTTTTGATTTCTGTGAGACTCTGAATTTTCAGTGTCCCTTTTTCCTGCTGTGGCCTATGGTGTTTTGTCCCTATGAGTGCCTGATAAGGATGAAACCAATAATAAATTAGTCATCTCTGGAACACTCACAATCTTTGTGAAATTTGTCAATGGTGTGATTGTCCAAGGCATGGTAGAAATCATAGAAGGATTGGTCCACCAAGTCTTCTGGATCATAGCCAAGGAGGTCCTGAATTCTGTAAACAACGATAAAAATCAACATCCTGAAATTCTTTTTCAAATGCATAACTTCTTCACTCACAACATATAATTCATGCAGCATATTTGTTGCACTGAGTCTCCTAATCTGTATTTTTCATCCAGGATGACACACTGGGAGATGCTTACATGTGGTCTAAACTACATGTATGTGCATGGTGAAACGCACTTGGCCATTAACCCTGGGACATGGAATGGAAATTGATTCACCCTTTCTCAGGGGTAAGGGAGGGGGGCAGAAATTGATCAAATTAACAGCAGGTGGAATTTGACACCATATAAGCTTTCAAGTACCACAAATATCTTAAGTTTTTGGTGCTAACAAAAATTGCCTTATTAGTGACATGTGAACAGTACATGTACATTCATTTTTTTTAATCTAACTGTTTTGGGGAGGGGGTTGAAAGCCTCTGAAAAAAAGGTGATCAATTATAAAAATAATTAACCATTAAATATCTTAGAAATGAAACATACACAAAACCAAAGTTTGGGCATTTTTTTTTTTAGTAAAGTGTTTTTTAATTAGAAGCAGTAAATTTAAACTTTTTACTTGTGAATTGTTTCCAAAGCTGTTGCCATAGGGAGGGTTGATGAAAAAATCATAAAACAAATTCAGGTTCAATAACAAAAGCTCAAGAATGAAACACTGAACTTGCTTGTAGTAGGAACATGAGTGTGCATGTAGGCATGAGCAATTTTCATGTACATGTATGTACTTTATACCAAAACACTGAGTTACATTACATGTAAGTATAGCACACAGTGTGGCACCACAAAGACCTACGCTGCACAGGCCTTTTCCATAATCCAATATCCAGGTTACCCTTGTAAGCCAGGGGTCAGGTTGTCTTAAACCTTGTCTGAATGCTTCACATTTTAGAGGTTTGGCACTGAATAGCATAACAGAGCAGGTGCATGTGAAGGGCCAAGACATAAAATACTCATGGGCCAATCAACGGTTTGGTGCACTACCGGAACACTGCAAGCCAACCCATGATTAACACACACACCAAGCAGGATATCCTGTTTTCGGAATGCATGCATCCTTCCACAACTCACATAAAAATCTCTCATTTTCATTTGCTGTTTGGTTTTTTAGCATGAGCCACCAAAACCACAATCCTTAAATCCTTGAACTGACCCAGGTGCCCTGGTATCGTATTTCACAAGAAACTTGAGACAAGGAAGGAGGGATCCTGGGAGAACCTGGGAGAATTCTTGTCTGTGGCCTGACCCCTGGGTTGAAGGGAGCAACTCACATGTAAACATGAACATGTATGGAAGATAAAGACTTCACAATTAAGTGGCTCCCATTTCCTTTCAATAGCACTGTTTGTGTCTTTTGAGGAGGGCTTGCCTGAAACATTTTGTCTTGGAAAGTCATGTTTAATTTATACAATAGTTATGTAATATGTATGTTCTTTTGGGAACTTCACATATAACATAAAGGTACTTTTAATTAGGCTGTTCAAAACAACTGGAACAAAACTTTACACACAGATGAAATAAACCCATACACTACAGCACCCATTTACTGAAGAGAATTTCTATGAATGCCATCCAAACATGGGTTAGCTATCAACTTCCAACTTCATGTGTACTGGGTACCTGTTAAACAAGTCACATGTGTAACTCATCACAAAATTTTCCCAAATGACTGACCGAACTGAGATAGCCATAGTAAGTTCCACTGATTCCAATCTGTTTAACTTTTTTTCCTGGTAAAAACATTTGTTTGACAATACTTTGATCTAGTTTTATGGTATTAGTGAAATATTTTTGCTACTGCTCTGTGGTCTAGAGTCTGAATTATTTTCTGATTTTATCTATTTCACAGATTAATTTAAAAATCTTGAATCTTGTGCAAATTGAGCCTTTTACCTGTCATCGCAGTATGTGAACTTCATGTCCATGCTATGTCTGGTCAGAAAAGTCTGTTCATCCATGGGTATCTCTATGTTGGCTGGATGATGGATGGGCATGGCGATGAGTGACAGACAGCTCAGTTGGGGCAGCCGGTAACCATTGGAGGTCACCACAGAAGGAGAAACTTTCAGGATTCCATTGCAATCCATTGCCTAATAAAAGAAACAGAAAAATCAAAAGGCATATGAAAAGTAATGATCCTATAACTTTAAATGGGTATGGGGTAGAAAACTCAAATAATCTCAAATAACCAATATGGGGAGACAACATCAACATGTTTGTTACTTTAAATACAGAAACTGTGCAAAAATACACACAAATTGCTGCAATTGAAAGATGATTTCAGATAAAAAGGTCACCTTGTATGTGGCCGCTTTCAATGTGACTATCTTCCCTTTGGCAGTCAAGGTACACTTCATGCGCATCAGGAAGCTATGTTTCTCTTGATGCTGGCGCTTGGCCGCCTTGGTGCTGTGGGACTGCCCCATCCAGGGATGGTCAGAGAGGTGTTCCCTGATCTCCTCATGGTCACAGGGATGGGAGAAGTCATAGATGCTCTGTCCAATCAAGTCAATCTGGTCCGGTAAGGATATCCCCAAAAATAGAGATTACTCATTACCACTATGCACATATTACATGTAAGTGAATAGGTTTGCGGTAGCACCAGGCAAAGATGTCTCTTTTGTGACTATGTGTGCTTCTGAAAAGAACCGGAGGGTACTCAATGTTTCAGACAGTATGCTCTGACTGTCGTCAGGAGACTACCTATAGGCACAACATTGTATAGTCACTTACATGAAATGTACAGGAATGTGGAAGTACATTTATAACATGTATCACCTTAGGAGAAAAAGAAACAAGTAACAAAATATCGGTACATTCCTGACCCATTCTTGAACTCAAACATTTTAGACTGTTTGGACTACTGCCATATCAATTTGCCTTTTACTGAAAAAAGCAATGGTATTTTAAGTGAAACTATAAATATTCAGTCAATAACAAACTTGTTATTCACAACCCCAGAATTACCAAACACTTTTTCAATACCAGATATTGTCTTTGGTTGGGAAATTTCCATGTTTTTATGCAGGAATCAGGTTATGGATAAAATGATTTGACGTCAAATGGACAATACGGCAAAAGGAAATTTTGGTCACCCCAAGCTTCTGTGAATTCCGCTTGCACTGAACACTGTGAATGCCACATCATACACAAACACCCACAATGACATGAACCTGACTTTGAAATGTGGCCCCCCAGATAAATCCAACAGAAAAACAGGTTGACCAAAGTCCACTTTCTACTGATATTCAATCAATATAACGTTTACAGCCAGATGAATTATGCACATGAGGTGAATCTCCGCAGTACCGGTATCTAACAGTACAAGGACCTGCGAAATGAGTCATAAGGCTGAAGGACACATATGCACAACTGTACAAAATAAAAGCAATGTTTGTGTCTCTGTAATGCTGTTGTACACATTCAAAACTGCATGTACATGTACAAGTTAGGAAAGGCAGGTGAACACAACACCTACCGGTGCAGGTGCAGGTACATTACGTCATAACAAATGAAACATACCAGTACATGCTGACAAATTTCCAAATGCTCTTGTTTGCGACTCAGAATGACCACGTGGTTAAAATCAATATGCACAATGCACGCTGTGAACTCAAATTTACGGGCCATTTCTAAGAACTCCAAGTATTTACATGTACTGTAGCTTTGGGGAGGTTTTGGACCCCATTGTGCTACAGTGGCTCACATTTTTAGTCATTCTTGTCAGTTCCGAGATCACGAGCATTGTTATTGTGAGCTCTGCTCACTGGTTGGCACCAAGAACCTGGCAAAATGCCATATTAAGGTAGGTTATTGACCATTATGTGTGCCATTGATTTGAAGTTCAGAGGCGACTTGTAGAATAATTCATACATGTACATGAGTACAGTGTATTTCTTGCCTGCACAGAACTGTACAAGTGTGACATATCAATCACATACATGTGCAAATACAATCTGTTTACATTTATGTCACCGTAAGTTTCCTCCTTAGCTGGCATTGCAGTGTCAATTCTGAAAAACCACAAAGGGTAAATGACCACCCATGTGTGTCATCAGAAAGGATGGCATTAAATGTGATATGACTGGGATCACTTTGCTTCTGCATCAGAGAGGAAATTCCTAGAAATGGGAATCAGTAATGAGTTGGGAAAGTACGTTCAAGCTTCATGCACTGGTACTGTACCAGTGCGCTTAAGTTTAGCTTTCAGATTAATATACCGGTACCAGGCAGTAAATTGAAGAAACCATAGAAAATACTCTCGTTAATTTGCAAAGACACAATAATTATGCTGGAGATATAAATTAAGTAGTGAACTCTTTCAGATTAAGCAGAAGAACAACCAAAAAAAAAAAAAAAAGAGGCCAGTTTACAAGCAAGTGCACAAGATAAGGCATCAAATTGATTCCATGTACACTGCAGCCAAATGAGTAAGACATGTCATCCTTTCCACTTGAAAAGTCTTTTTAAAAGGGTTCCCTCCACTCATTTTCACAGCTAGACAGACAGCTAGCAAATCAGTAGCTGTTAGAGCCAGGCGGTCATTTGTCATTCAATTCCTTCTGATTCCTTTCGCTACAGTTCCATTTCTCACCTGTTTGAGGCCGATGTACTGCGAGACATTTTCGGAGATAAAGATGACGTCACCCTCTTGCGACAGCATCATGGCAAAGCCATCCAGAGCCTTGAGGTAGTAGTTATCAATGAGCTGTTCTGCTGTGACTGGAGCATCCTCATCAAGGTCCATGGGTTCCGACTTGATGGCTGATGACGAGAGCCAAATATACAGTGCATAAATGTCAAGGAGAAAGAAAACAAGCTCTCATACATGTACATCTAGTTGCCAGGTGACCTGGATGTCACACTGATTCATTTAATCTTTTCAGATGGGGTGTACATGTAGAAAGTACTGTGGTTGAAATAAAGTTGAAATGTCTCTTGAAGGTACCGGAACAACCACACTCCTACATGTACGTGTTAATGCAACTATAAAGTAATTCACATCCAGCACAAGCTGCATTTCCAAAATGTTAAGCTGTTACGTTTTCCTTTCATCTGAAATTATGCAATTCTTCTAAATATTTGCTTCTTTAAAGCTTAACTGGTTCTCAATAATAAAATGCTTCTGTCACTTAAATGTAGCCCCCTTCTGCACTACAGAACCGGTATACTTACTGTATGTGAATATTCTATTTAAGATATGGAAATAAACTGAACTAAAACCGTTATATACACAATATGTATTGTACATGTAATTGTATATTTACGCTAAATGGTTCTTTGACATCATACATGTACATGTACATCGACATTTTTAGCTGCCATTAATATAAAGTTTTGCAGTTGGGCAATTCTTATGCAATACTGATATCATTGTTTTCTTGCTAACCTGCTCAGGATCATAGCAAACTTTGCACATGTACTGGTATATTAGTATTTGTCAACAGTGGCAAATGACAGCAGGAATCTAGCTTTAGTACTTCAGATACTAGGGGACGCACATGTACATGTAAGCTGTACAAAACAGTATTTTATATTAAATTCACATTCGGTTTCTGCGCAGAAGTTCACTTTCCAATGGTGCATATACCCCAGTGCATGCCTATGTACATACGTGTACATGTAGTTTGGTCATCTACATGTATATAGCACATGTTTCTATGTGTACTGGTACCACTGGAGAATAAGTTATGCTTTTCACTGCCTTCAATCATCACGAACAGAAAAGTTAGTTAACAGAAAAAAATAATGCCAATGGCCCAGTCATGCATTATTTCAAACTTCAAAATTTCAACTCCAACAAAGTGAGCATTGACACCACATTGGAGAACGTATGATTATGCACCTGTACCACATACATGTACTGTACATGTGCATTTCTGAAAGCAATTAAAATGAGGGCACAAGTGCAGCTCAGAGGAGGGCATATCATATCAGAGTCGGGTTATGAGTTATGCAAGGTCACCAGGTGGAAAAAAAAAACACAACATGGACATGTATCATGTGAATAAATCACAGTTCCCTGAAGATTAAGGAATACATGAAACATGCACATTCAGTACATGTTCTGGAATTTTTTGTACATGTAAACAGGTACTTGGTTTTCTATTACTGTATGAAGGTTGAACACTGGCAAATAAATCTTAGTGCACCAATAATATACGATCATTACGACTCTACAAAGTCTCTAATTACATCAATCACAAGCCAAATCATAAGTTACAGGGATGAACAATAAAAAAAAGTGATGACTTTATAATTCCATCTGGATAATTTGTTACTTAATTTGAGACTGAAGTTGTGGCGTGTCTTGTGATTTTTTTAAAAACCATTTTAGTTCTTAATGATACAACTAGAGAGAGAGGATGTATACAGAGGCAAAAATTGGCATTCTGGTTACGTAACCCAACCTACATTAGAAAAATCACACAAGCCAGCGACTTAACTCTAAGCCAGTAATACAGAGTAAAAACTTATGAGGCCAACTCACAGTCTATTCTTAATGTACAGGTACCGCTACCATACTTATCATTTTGTATTTTTGATGTTTATCATTTTAAAGTTCAACTTAGTTGACCAGAAAAAAAAGGGTTTTGTCCTTCTGGTTTGTATCCTCAATCATTTACTTTCTAAATTTAGACATTCTTTAACTACTCAAAGATTGTGCATACATTTGTACGGTACACATACAGTGCTGATAAGCATGTACATATATATGTACATGTACAGCATTATCTAAACCCCATCAAACCTTAATATTTGCAGCAACAAAAATATGAGCAAAGTAAAAAATAGTTTTCTCACTTCTGGAACATGCAATTGCCTTTTCCCCCCAATGTACATTTAATGGGAAAGGCAACTTTTTTTTGAGGGGATGGGGGGTGGACAAAAATCCTCATTCAATCGGACCTCACCTGTTGGTGTGAAGTTCTGCACTTTGAGGTAACTGAGTATTAGCCTCATGATGCCGGCCTTGTCAAGCTGGGCACACATACTGTGTGGCATGGGCAGCTGGTGGGCAAGCTCGTAGAAGATGGCCGTCTCCTTCTCCCGTCTAGTTCGGGCAGCATTGCGCGATTTCAACTTCCTCTTTTCAGAATTCCTATGGGGTAATATCAAATGACGTTGCCATCCCTGTGAGACATGTCCATGAAATTATTCTGCATCATGCAGTCTTGCATATGTACAGTATAAATCTATTCCATTAACATACAATTGAATCAACGGACAACATAATGCAAGAGCAGCAGTAGCTTTTGAAAACAAAAATTCAGAATTCAGCATAAAACTGTGTACCAACAGCTGGCGGTGCACAACAACGTAGAGCAAATGTGTTTGCCCAGGGAGGAGAAATTCTTGCACTTTACAATGCCGCGATGCCACACATCGTTAGTTTCTCTTCCCAACCTTGCTCCTCACATCAGCTCTTAACAGTGACATTTTGAATTTCAACTGAGTATGGCAAGCCATAGACAAAGCTGTGACGCATGTATACCACAGTCAAGGTACATGTACATGTATGTCTGTGGATCTGTAGGCATGATGTATGGAACCATGGGTAAGCACTGAACATGAACACTGTGCGTGTAACTTTTACTGTGGTACAAAAAGATAATCAGGGTTACTACATCTACATGTAAAGGGCAATTAAATTCCATGACTTTCCCATGACCAAATTATATGAATGAAAACCCATGACCCAATAACGCAATTTCTTGAGCTATTTAGACTTTAAAGTTGCAAATAAAATCATGCATTTTATGCACTTATTTCTGATAACAGAAATCACACATACATGTAGTGTTTAAAAACTTCCATGATTTTTACATGACTTTACTCATTTTTACAAAATTCCATGACTCTTCCAGACCTGGAAAATGAAAACAACTTCCCATGACTTTTCACGGCCACGGGAACCTGTCATGCTATACACTGCACATACGGTGCTTTATGCTGGGAAATTATTTATGTACATGTACATTTACATGTACAGGCACTGGTACACGGCGTTGAAATTCTTTGAATGATTTAACAACTAATGGCCAAAAACATGCATAAATAGTTAAATACATACATGTACATGTATATCACTATAGACTGGAATCAGTTGCGCTTTGCCGAAGTGGCTCTTTTGCAGAGAGCCGTTACATGTACACGTAAAGTAGTGCAGCAAAATTACACATGAAATGCACACACATGAAATAGTAGTTGGGTCTAGACCTTGACCTAAAGCATCCATGCATGCACAATGTACACACTTGAAGGAGTAACAATTCCCTGATAACAGAATATGGAGCAGGCGACCTGTCTGAATTTGCCTAATGACTGGAGAGAATGTTGTGCAAACTAAGTAAAAGCTAGGTCCCTGGCTGATATCACGGCTGTTGGCACATTTTAGTGACAGAAGGTTTTGATTTAGTTTCAACCCTCACTGTACATGCACATGTACCAATCATGCTCTAAACTCAAACAAGTCGAAGCCAATATACAGTAATATCAGTCATTTTCTTTACATAAATCAGTACAAATTTCTCTGAGTCATTACATTTTTGTTCAAACTGCACATTACTAGGTTTAAGTGAAAGTTCTTTCACATTTTTCAATGACACAATTAAATGAATTTGACCTGTAAAGCATGTGATTTTTTGCCTAATTTCACAGAGTAGTGTCTGTTTACTTTTGTTATTTGTTTATATTTTCATACCATTAAGAAACTGGGTTTTACTTGAAAGTCACATACAAAATCACAAAATATGTACCCGTATGTGTAGAAAATAGGCATACACGTACACATCTACATGTTACTGGACACTGAAATTCAGGGATTTGAGTCTGATATTAGGGTTGGACCACAAGAAGAAAAACTACACTAATTATGTGAAAAAATGAAAAATTTCAAGATAAAACAAAAGTATGGTACACACAACAAAACATGATACAAAGGACAAGGTACATGTAGCATTGGACAAAGATATACAGTAACAGTCATGTACCCTACACATGTTCAAGGGTTTATTCATGTACATGTATATGAATTATTCATCAAAGTTGTGTTTATAAGAAGGGTTCAATAATATTACCAACGTTAATGTTTTATGTACCGGTACGTTAACCCTGACCAATATTCCCTCTAAACTTGTTTTTCAGAAAGGGGAAACATCCTGTGGACATGGGTAAGTCCTTAGAATGTCTTCCCTTCCTGCATCATGTGGACATCTTTTGTTCATAAGTCTACCCTACGTATGTAAGGTTAGCGCATACAGTCCATCACTTGCTGTTAACCACAAATGTAAAATTTGTTGCATATCTGACGAACCAACGAATATGAAATATCACTGTTTTGAGAAAAACAGGTTTTATTTAATTCAACCCTCTTTTGATCTCTGTGTAAAAAAAAAATACAAACTTGGTCTTTGAAATCATTTCCTAATTTGTTTTTTTGGCTCTATGAGCAATACTTTGTTTGAATACTGCTGTCCAACCTATTCGTCAGTTCCTGAGATAAAATCTGAAAATCACCAGAATGGTCTATTCGCCGATCTGTTAATTATTGTTAAAAGGCACCCTTGGTTTAGAGATGGTTCTGGGACTAGACTCCTACCCGGTACATATATGAAACGATTCTTTCTGGCCAGTTGTGATTAAAAAGAAAACAATGAAAGAAGGCCATTTCCAATGTGCAAGCATTAACTTGACACACATGTACACATTATTACGATAACTCCTCGGTTCAGTGCTGCATTTGGCTGAATGAGACCATGTTCAGGATGCTGAATTCGGTGTTCTTAGGCGACCTTCTTTAGATTTTGAGCAATTTTGTTGCATCAAAGGAACATAATGCACAAATGACAGACTTCACCTTGAATTAAAGATACTATACGGCCTGAATATACATACATATACATGTACGTGTATATTTTATGTTTGTGACTGTTTCATGAACTCGATACCAAAATACCAATTGGAAATTGGTACATCTTCCTCCATTTTCATACTCTACTTGTATCAAGGGCTGTATTTACTCTTTAAATTTCATTGCATCAACTCATTTCAGCCTTGTCTTTGATTTTTTCTGTACTGTGGTAGTCCATGCCTTGAAATACATATATATCCAGCTGTACTTCAATTACAGATTCATGCCTGTGTCACTCTACGAAAGTCTTAACGCAGTGAGTCTGACAGTTCTGGATTCAGTTTTCATAACAACTGAGCACTACAAACATCCACCCATGTGTGGAATTTGTGGCATCATTTTGTCACAAACATCTCCACCTTTGTCTGAACAATTGGTTTCTTAAAAAAAAGTTGATTTAAAGGAAAATAAATCCCTCTTCTTGAAGAGCCTACAGGACTGAATTCTACAGATGCAAATCACTCTCTACAGTTGCAAACAACTTTCATGTACAATATCATGAACAGCTGTCCCAAGCATTCATCAGTTGTTCAAAAATAAGGAGTCGAAGTTTACAGCAAAGGCCAGAGGAGCTTGTAAAATTGAAACTTCGCAGCATCTTGACCCGTTATGTGTTTCACATTTGAAGAGTGTGTGATGTACTGCACTGTATACAGCATTGCATGCATTGGTGATTTAAAAGTTCACATACATGTAATGTACATGTACATGTACATCTCACACATAGACAAAAATCCCAAGGCTTCAGTGAATGTAGGTATAAGTCTTCAGTTTGCTCCAATGGCAAAATATATTACAAGTACTGGGTAGAATCTAAGAAGAAATATGTTACTGAGAAAGGTGATACGTGGTGAAAACAACATTGTAAATGTTAACTAGCCTACATACACAATCACCAGAGGAACGAAAATTTGGCCTTATAATCTGATCCTGGTTAGGCTAGGCCTACGTGCAAAGTTACTGTCTACCAGAAATTTCACCAAACTGTATTGTGCTATTTGTGGTTTATATCCAAACAGTTTGTAACTCATCTACTAAAACTGTACATCTCAAAATGCATAAAACTAAAAGGGCTTGGCTACGCAAAAACTAATTCTTAGCAGTATTGCCACATGAAGTCTTGAAGAGGCCATGTCATGAAATAGTGACAATGCAACCTTACACTGCAGTAAAGTAACATGAATCATCAAACAAGTATTAAACAGAGAAGACTTGCTCCAACAATTAACCCTATGCCTCAATGAGCTTCACTGAAATCACAAATATTCCTCCATGGAATAACTGGACACCATACTAATACTGCCATCCTGGTCATACTAACGGTTAAAATAGGCAAATGCTTGGATGTTTACCTTCTCTTCTTCTCTTTTGGTTGTGCAGATGTCGACAATGTCATTATTGTTGAATTCGAAGTCGGCATAATATTTCCGGGTTTTTCCTCCAATTAGTGTCTTCAATAGGCAGATTAACAAGTCCCAGGAACGTGTCCAATCAACAGGTAACCACTGTAGATAACTGAGAACGGGTTTTGGTCTTGAGTTTAACTGTACTACAATGCTAGTCCAACATGTAATGGTACAGTCTCAGAACACTGCTAAGGATTGTCCGCATTGCATGTTTTACTTCACGCGTACTGCAGTACTGCCTGGCTGTACTATGGACTCCAGAGCGATCGCGAGAGCCAGTGCAATCTAGAAAAATAAAAATAGGCTCAGTGACGACATCGTAAACTTCAAACAAGTCCTGCACGGACCTGTGGGATTTTTGCAAGCCTGGTTTGATAATTATTATTTGGCTTCTTGAAATTAAGATTTTTGACAATGCGTGTTTAATTTTTCAGTTTCATGTAAAGCGAACTACAATTCACGGCACTGAAAACTGCATGCTTCGTATAATCATATAATAACCTTCGGTTTGTTCCGCAGGAACGGGTCAGGGCTGGACTGAATTGTATCTACGAGTCACGTGGTGTTCTAGTGTGGTCTAGAACTTGTCTGGTCTGATCACAACAACATCCAGCCTGCTGCCGTGCGTGTGTTGTGGTGTCGATTTGCGTCACGCCGGTTTAGTACCCCCAGGGAAGGTTAGACTGGCGACTGGGCTTGAAGTGGTACCTAGTGGAAGTGTTTGTAATACATGTACATGTATTGTGTGTTTCCACGTATCAGTAATTACCGTTCCCTTGACCCCTCTCCCATGGTGTCCTTTTTTTGGGGGGGGGGGATTCTTTTACTTGTTAAACTAGACCCAAAGGTTGGGGATAAGCTCTTTTCAGTGCAAATAAAATTAACTGTGCCGCTGGTCAGGGTCGGGATTGGGCCCATCACTCTGAAACTCTCGTGCCCTGCAGTGGGAGCTACGGAGGGGAAAAATTAATGCATACTTTTCATGACAAGAACTGAATGTCCATATCTGCAAAAACTAGAAAGGGGAATATTCTCAATTGCCAGATTCATATTCAATCAGAGGGAGTTCCTCCATTGCCACTCAAAGCTGTTTGGAGTTGCGCAACGCGAAGCGGGGGGGGGGTCCTGAAGACAAGTCCCTTCAGCCTGCCTGCCTCGAACTCTGCAACTCGGGACCCTAGCTAGTCCACTGATCAGTGCTCGACTCCGGAGGTGACCGCGTCACTTAGAAAACCGCTCGAAGACGCTTGTAAAAACCAACAAGCCTGCTTGATTTATCAGTCCAAGTACAAAATATTAATGTTATTTCACCAAAAATACATTCTGAAATTTTAAAGCATTTGGTCGCTAAAACCTCTCCATAGTTCTTAGTTTGGATTTTTTAACTCTCAGATCCGCACAATCGGATGTAATGAAGTGCTAATTATACTGAAACTTTAGTACGTTTTGTGCTGCTGGAGTGGGGGTCAAGCCTCCTGTTTACTGCCATTTACCTGCGTCTAAAGCTTGGAAGATCCCCCCAAAAGCATTTAGCATGTTGGGGTCTCATTTTCGGTGTACGATTATGGACAAAACAGAGGGACAAAAATTATTCTACCAACGGCGACAACAGAGTATCCCCCTTCGCGAAAAAAAAAATCCTGAATCCCCCGCAGAAAAACCTGACTCCTCCCGTAACTTTTGACGCACTGGCAGCATTAACCAAGGAGGGATATTTACTCATTATTTCTGTAAAGTACCCTTTCCATCTAGGTGGCCCTTTTTTCACCACCGCCTTGTCCTTTACAGTGCACAGTGCCAACTTCGGAATTTTTGGCGTCATTCAGAGTAAAGCCTATTTTGTCCGATATGCCCCACTCACGATGAACAGCGTCGGCATAAAAGATATGCTGAGCCCCCTTCTCCCGCACTTTTTGATTTTGCAGTGGGTGATAGGCGAAATAACATCAAACCATATCACACGGATGCTGATTGCAGTGCTCCCTTTTCTAGTACATGTACACTGAACATTCCCCCATCAAAATGGCATTGCTACGTAGAAAACATTCAGAACGACCTGTACAAAAGTCTATGTTTTGCACACTAACGGAGCTCCGGCTCCACAAGCCGTGGACGGGAATGCGCCACCAACATGTAGATGTACATGTACACATGTACATGTATGTCCGCAGCGGACTGAAGGATACATTCATCGCGGGACAGCAATACTTTTGTACTGGACACACATGTACACGTAGGTTTAAGGTGCAGGTTGATCATCCCAGTGGCGCACCCTGGATTGAAGGGGGGGGGGCTCTGAGTCGAACCCCCCCCCAAAAAAACAAGCGCACACACAAATAACTAATGATACTCAAACCCCCTACTGGGGCTGGGATGAATGGCTTCATCAGAGCTAGGTCCAATTTAAAATGTAGGTTTATATTCTTTCTTCGTTTACAGAAAGTTGAAAAAAATGTTTAAAAATTGACGACAGGGGCCGGGTCTCGAGTTCCCTCAGCACCCAAGCCGCGCCACTGAATTGCACAGAACAGAATTATTTTAATGCGCACATTCCTCAGTGATGAATATGTGGGTAAGTAGGCCAACATCAGCCCTTTGATCTGACGGGAAATCCGAACATGACACTGACGGATCTTGATAGAATCTATGATATGACTATACCTTCAGTAGTCTCAGAGATCCGGATCGATACACCGGTTCCACTTCTGCTGAAATACAAAAGACAAATGATATTTGGGTCATCCAGGTCTCGCCAATAGATATCATTCCTGATCACTCTGTAACTTTCTGTAATGTGGGGGCACTGTAAAATCCGTCCAATTTATTTAGTTATGAATGACAATCAACCAAGGCACTGGAGATCGGAGGAATTACAATGTACATGTACGATCAATCAATCGTAACGGTGTAGTACTGTGAACCAAGGAATAACTTGTAGCCATCATTGTCCTTTGGGTGTAGGCTTGATGGCTTAGTCGTGGTTCCGTATGAGGAGATCCTTACATGTACTTTCCTTGTTACCGAATATCAATAACCAACAACTGTCCCATATTCGAAACCAAATTCTACCATATACGAAAAAAATGTCACAGCCATGCCCTTCACAGTCGGAACCTCGTTCAGTAAATCGATCAGTTTATCCGTCAATATGTTATTTCCAGCCAATCAATAACGGGGATTATTTCCAATTAAACTTTTATTTTTTCTGTCCATTTTGTTCAAGGTGATGAACAGCAAAAAAAGCATGGGGTGCTATAGAGTTTACGTTAAATGTTATACATGTACAAAAAATACAAGCCCCCTCTGAATTAACACCACGTAACAATGTTCAGTGTCTTAGTTCATTTTGTAAGGCTTTGTGTCTCTGTAGTCAGAATATAAAACTACATATTCCAGAAATAGCGTATCATCTCCCTCCCCAACTCGCTAAGCTGGGTTACATGTGTCAACTGGAGAAGTCCTCATCGATCTTGTTCGATGTCGGCACGCCACCGTTACTTGCGTTGAATCTCCCCTCCCAGTATGTCTTTGTATATCCGGGTCAAAATCCTATGGTTCCCGGAGATAAACTGATAGATGGACGCAGATTTTCCTGAATTCAATCGAAATAGTTTTGAATTGGATTAGGTTTCTATGCAGTTTATATTTCAGTTGTATTGTAGGCCTAATNGGGGTCAGTCGTCTTCTCTGCAATGTATAGATGCTGAACCAGTGATGGAACGTGAGAGGAAAGATGGACAGAAAGGCTTGCCGCCTTCTTTCCCGCCATGAATTTGGAGGAAAAATATAGTGTCGTTTCATGCTGAGGAAAGCTCTTTAACAGGCCCGTTAAGAAAATGAAGCCAAGACCTCAAGACAGTCTTCCTTGCAATATTGCATTTTCTTCTGTCCTGTATCTTAAAACATATGGATGCAGGGCTCCCTCACAGTCCTCGTGTGGGCATGGCAGTTGACAGTTTGGTCAGAATATACAACAAAAAATTTCATTTGCCGCTAATGAACTGTACCAGCGGGAGTTTTATAGGGCAGAAAACACACTTTTTCAGTGATCAAAGCATTGTTTGTGAGACCTCTTCCCCAGCGCTCGGTCCAAACCAATCTAAACCTCTGATCACGTCAAATCGTCCTTGCCCTTAATGATGATGACGTAGTGCTCAGCGGGCAGCCTGGGCAGTGGTACAGAATAATACGGAAGAGAGGCAATGTGCTTGCCGCTGGGTTTGACACCGGTGAGGTTTTTCTTTTGATTGCCCATCTTCCCGCGGATATGGATCGCTGTGCGAGCGATCTGGTATGAAGAGATCGAAAGTGTGGCAAGTGAATGGTGACGAAAATTGAAACAGCAGATGACATCATCGCCACTGCACTCATGTCCATGACGGAAAACAACATCAATTTGCATACTTATTTGTTTTAAATAAATAAATAAATAACTGAATTGTCCACTTGATAAAGTGATTCTTATCTAATCAATTGCAAATTACCAGAATCTGTCATCCACCTTATGAATCGATCAGAGTAATCACTCTCATCAGTCATTCAACAAAGTAATACAACAAACCTCTCAACATATTTCAACTGCAACTCTTCTTTGTTTTAACTAATATTTTATTACAGCGGCAACGCCTGACCACAGGCCATCAATACAATACTCTGATCTGAAGCAAAACGGCAATGGAATTTGAAAAAAAATGAAAAAAAAAAGGCAATATATGAAGGATTTTCCTCTACTGTCAAAAGCAAGCTGGTGAATCGTGCATAGTAATTTCCGTACTGGGAGCTACAAATTCACAGCTCACATACAAGAGGAAGTCGGGGACAATGGAGATACATTTCAGCCATAGAAACACAAATAATTGTTTCACTTAAGTATTATGCTCTGATAGAAAGGTCACAGGAAAAAGAAGTGTCCCTCCCCTTTTGCAAATGGGCCTCGGGAGAAACGGTAAAATTGGAACAATACCCCGAAAAAGGTTTAAAATGTGACCCCAAACCTCCAACGCAGGTTGTACTTCTTTCTAGACCTGTCTAGTGCCCTTAATAGGAAAATGCAGAGGTTGTGTGCATTCCACAGTTTACATCTGTCTGGCAGTGGAATTAGTAGGGTTACATTTTGGGGGAGGGGCACCCAAGGATGCACAAACTTTTCTAAGTGGCACCAAAAGCAAATGGACAGCAGGTTGTCCATGGCTTGTGTTCATTTCAAGACTTGAAATGAAGGGGGGATGGAGAGAATGGGGTACGTGCCACTACCCCTAATTGTCACCCGGTCTAAGCAGAAGATGTAATAGCTCAAATCTCCTAGCCGATAAATAAGCATGATTCAGGTGGATCTACTTCAATTAATATTACAAATTTAAAATCATCATGATAAAAGAGCTGCACCAATATTGAAATTCAAATAGTAAGTACATATAAGCAAGAACAAGACATTGCCACAACATACATATTATGCTACATATAATATTCATTTGTTTTGTCTTGCAAAAACCTTGAAGTATATAAATACAAGAATGACTTTAAACACTGTGTAGGTCGGTGACTAAATTGAAGAAGTCTCATGCCAAAACATACAAATACCTTGAATTTAATGAGACTGATTTCAGAACAATTCAAGTCCTGAAACCTGAATAATTTTTCAATTATATGTAATAAATGAGCATTATTTATTTTGAAAATTATTCCTGCCACAAATTCACAAATCCAACCAGAGTACAATTACAACAATGTCCATTGCAATGCAAAAAATTAAAGGCAGAGTCAAATTCAACCCAGAGAGATTTGCTTTCAAACATTAAATATCTTCACAAATATTCATCTGAATGAGTCCTCTGCAGGAATCTTCACAATCATATTTACATAACTGTACAATATATACACACAGTTGATAACACTTGGAGAAGTGATTTTGGTCAATTTTTCGGGGGGGGGGACACAATGCTGCGATTGCTACGATTGTGTAATGCCAGCTGCAATGCTTGTGTCTGCCATTACTTTTGCACTGATGCCAAGACTTATCATTCGATATGTAATGCAATGCTAAGGTGTGTTACAGTGTTGCTCAAATATTTACACAAGTAAGCTTCTTTTACCTCAACACTGAAAACTCCCCCAAACTGGGGGCACCACCTGCTTTCCTAACCATATCAATCCACAACGGACCAAAAGACAAAACCAAATAAAAAAGCAAGAACGAAAAACAAAAGCAAAGAAAAGAAACCAACTGAAGAAAGAAAGAGAGAGAAAAAAATAATAATAAAGCTCAAAAAACAACAACAAACAACTCTGGAAACCAGCTCCCCTGGCCTGTGCAGACAAGCAGCACTGAAACCACTAGTTGTTATGACCCAGGCCCAATTTCACGGAGCTGCTAAGCACATGACTGTATGCTAACAGAAGCTCTACGTATTTCATGGAGACCTTAGGCAGTAAGCACAGCAGACGGCATGCTTACCTTGGAGGTCAAATCTACTTCACTTAACAATGTAACAATGGGCATCTTTATAAACGTGTGCATGCGTATAAGCAAACCCATGCCAAGCAACTCCATTAACCCTAACTCCCTAGGGTGTGTGCAAAATCATATTAACATTGGAGGATTCAGGAATGTTAGGGTTAAACATTGTTAATGGTCGGCAAAATTAAAGCAGCTCTGTGAAATTGGGCCCTGTTAAAGCAGCAGTGCCTGGTAAAGATTTAAAAAGATCAGGTGTCACATGGGCTTTTGCAGTCACAAAGTTAGATGCCTTTGTGAATTTCTAACAAGCGGATTTCTCCAGCATACTACATACACACAAGTGAAAAACCGAAAGTGATATTTCGTTCTTGTTTTTTACGTCCAGATTATTCTGATTATTTCTGATGATGACACCAAAGACTCCTCAAAAGCACCCTAGGCACTGCAGCTCGCAAGCCTGAAGAAACTTGTAGAGAGGAGACGATGAGAAGTACTTACTATACAGTTTTAGAGGTGAGAAGAAAACCCCAGAGGAATATTCTGGGTAAAAACCCACAGAGTCAGGTTGGGACTGAAAACCCAATCCACAAGTGAGCCGGGAATCGAACCCAGTCCCAGATTGCAGAGGTGGAAGGCGAGGAGAGAACCACGACGCCAACCTGACTCCACAGATTTTGAATAAACCTTACATTTACCTTTCACAAAGCACACTATGACTCTTTATTTGGATGAAAATACCTTTATAAACAGCTGCTTGTTACAGATATTACATACTGCTAATTACATAATGGGCTTAAATGTTACATACCGGGTACAAAGCACCTTCTCATATTTTTTGTGCAGTGGAACTTTTCATGCAAATAACTAGTACTAACTGTCAGCAATTGTTTGTAGTAATTCAAACTCATTACAGTTCTAGAATTTCTGGAATAAGACAAATGTACAAACAATTATTTGCATTAAAATCACAATTTTACAGTCATTCTACATCAGAAAACAGGACTTCAAATGTAGAATAGCAGTGAGTGATTTCAAAATCTGCAAAACACTTCAAGTTGTCCTTTGAAACCAGGATTTTGAGGTGAGTAGCTGAATTTTGATACCAGCACCAGGACTTTAGGTCCTGCATAACTGATTGAGCAAACCTGAATCGGTGATGCCAAAATTGGCTTTTTTCATGAGAAGTGGTCAGCCAGTGTCCTTTACTTAAAGATTAATCCACAAGAGATTCCTGAAATTGTGATGCAAAGTTTATTGGCTCAAATCCTTTCCCCTCCACCCTCCCCTCTGGAAATTTCTGATCTTAACAAAATCCCTGTCAAATCTAGTATTTAAGGATAACAAAAAGAAACTGACCCACAAATGAGTAATCACCTTTAAAGAACGTTACTACACAAAGCATCTCATTCCTATGACTGTAATAGGTTAATGTATCACTAATGGATGAGCGAGGAAGCGACTGTTTCACTTCCTAAGTGACTTCACCTCAAGTGTTTCTTCTGATCCATGTACACTTAGCAGGCAAAAACCCCCTTACTTATTTTCGGTGGAACAGTTTTCTACTTAATGCCTAGCAGGGATGTGACAGGTCTTTCCGGTTTGATGTCAATTCATCTAGAATACAAGCAGTAAAAACATAAAAAGGGGAAAAATAAGCACCAAGCTTTTTCACTTGATATACGAGCACCTTGAGGATACAATTCTCTCTGTGAAACGGCAAATCACTAAGAGATCCACCAAAGGACTGTGCAGACAGGAAGTACTCCCATACACAGCGTTTCCATGTTGAAAAAAAAGTGCCATTTGAGCAATCACATATGCATGTCAAAGTCAGTGATGAAGACTTTCTGTTTCCCCTTCTGTTAAAAACCTAAAAAAAAAAGGAAAGAAAGAAAATATTTTGAACCACTAATAGGTCAAGCATAATTAGGCCAATTCTCAATAATTCAACTCAATATACAGCAAGGTGTTTGTAGGACTGTATTCGCCAGAATGAAGACTGGTCTGTTGAAACATTTCTGCCAAAAATGAGCACGAAGCCTGAAATCTTGAGTTCAGACAGCTTGAAAAGCTGTCAAATAGTCATTTGAACACAGGACTTGACTTGCAGCAAACATTATGTACATGAGTAAGCCTTCTCCTGGCTCTTGTAAACCATCAACAGTTCTGGCACAGAGCCCACACAGCAAGTATTCTACTGTAGCTACATGTATCTGGGTTCCCCCTATTCTCAGCTTCACAGTGGTGTCAGTCCCAATCATTCACCTTGACTTCTACACTGCCTCCAGAGCTGTTGGAACTGTAGCAGCTGGTAAAGTTAGCCAGGGACTCTGTATATGAATGTACATGTACCAAACAAAGTGAAACAGAACCCCCTCCCCCAAATGCCAACGAATCCAAGTGTGAAATTTACACATTTAGACCATTTTGCTTATTGTTGGATCAACACTGACATGTTCAAATTAGAACAAGTAGATGTCAAATCAAGAATCCTGCTGAAAAACAGAGTAAAATTACCAAACAGTCACATAAATAACAACAGTGCATGCCCGTTCAGACGAAATTAAAACTCCGAACAGGGCAGCTTGTGTGACCACAATATACGGCAAAAGAGTAAAAGCAGATTACGTGTATATTTGGGCACTTGCTATGTCCAATTTCATCCTGGAGGGGCCCATTCCAAGTGAACAAGATCTTTACATGGTTTTTCTGGACTGGAGTTGAGAGAAGGGATGGTGCACCTCTTGGTCTTCATGATTTCAAGGAATTTTAACATTTACATATATGCACTTGGCGTGTATATCAAAGCTAACTTGTGAAAGTTGCCAGTTTGAATTGTCTCACACACAGCCAAGACCAAAATCTTTGCTGGGAGGCCAAATCTATCTCCAAATCCAAGGCAGTTCCGGTTTTCAGTCAAATTTCCATTTAGTAAATGGATGCTGGCTCCAACATTACCAAATCACTGGGTATCAGCCTCTCTGAATATGAACCAGTAAGTACAGGCAACAAAGACAGCACAAAACAGATTTCCTGTACATTTAGCAAAGTCTTCTTGTCTCAGGCAGGAAAAAAGTTTACATCTTTAAGATTAATTTCATTTCAGGGTAGATATAGCAGTGCCTACTATAACACACGGTATTTTAAATACAAAAGTAAGTCTAAGGTACATTCAAAATCCGATGCGTTTGCTCTAGTTGTCATACGTCGGTGCACTGATCAGGACCGTGTTTGTTCCCCTTGACTGGTTTCCCGCTCTTGTTGCTCCCACTACCCCCTTTGGATCGACTGTGGCTGTCCCCTAGCTCCGGTTCCCGCAGCAGCATCTGGTTGATGGGCGGGGCCGTTGCTATGGTGAGGTCAGGGCCTGATGGGATAGCAATGTCTGGCATGATCTCGCTGAGCATAGGAACCACCTGGGCAGTGGCTGCCACCTGGAAAAAGCAAAAAAAAAAATAAGGACAAACAGCAAGTTATTAGGATTTGCTGACAAATCATATATTACTGTTGCCCAATGAATTATGTAACATGGCGAATTGAAAACAAGTGTAGACAACTGGAAAATAATTGGTAGATATACCACTACATTAGTTTATCTCTTAAATATGTACATGTAACACTATTTTAGTGAGCAATGCGGTTTAAATAAGAGGCAGACACGGTAAATGTTTGAACTCTCAGAAGTTCTGAAATTAAGTTTCCCTGAACGTTATATGAGCACACTGACCAGTCAAACAGACACCTTTTCCCTTTATGTACCTTCTTAAAATACCATTGGTACCTCTCCAAGTGTTTGGTGACAGGTGTACTCTGTAGTACACAAAATTATATCATGTTCCAAAATGATAACTGTACAATGGATTACAAGGACAGCATAACATGTGGGCACAGGTGACAGATTTTTTCCCAGGGAGGAGGGGAAAAAGCTTGGAGGGCGGATACAAAGCATTCAACAGGTGCATATCAACAAACCATCAACAGTGATGGGGTCAATTCTGAAGCATTTTCCAGAAAAATAGAAGTCATTCGTCTTATCTATTTGACTTTCTTTTTTTCCTTTTGTATTATTCAAATTATTTCCCGAGGCAGGAGCATGGCCTCCCTTGCGCACCTGAAAACACTTAAATAGACCAATTGCACCCACTAAGTCACATGACCTAGAGTGGGTATCAAACATCAACAAACATGACATCCTGCCATAGCAAAGTGAATTTTAAGTGTTGTTTACCAAAAATAAAGTCTGTTTTTGGTATAGTACTGAGCACATCTGTTGCCTGAGTACTGAACCGACCATCAGCTTCATTTTTGGTAAATCACACTTTTGACACACAGTGCCATGGAGGATGCAATGTTTGATGTTTTATACCCACTACAGGTCATGTGACTTAATGGGCACAATCGGTCTATTGTATACAATGTAGGTATGTAAAATATCTCTTAAAAAACAATGAAATCACGCTTGGAGAGACTTTCGATAAATAAGGTTGGAAGGATTATTATAGGAAATCTAAACCAACAACTCCCTGCTGACAAACATGCACTTGAGCCACAAAACCAGTCATAACTAACCAGACTGTATAGGCTGGCTATGCCTGGCTGCTACATGTAACTCAGTCTGTGGCTTTGTGGTGCTATAATTTGTCTGGTGATGTGTAAAATTTGTGAATGACAAAGACTTCAGGGAAGACATCTCTATGTTCTCACATTTTATACCAGTAACTAATATCATTCACCCCCCCAAAAAAAAAACTGCCCTTGAGAAATGGAGTCCTAAATCAGTATGCAAACCCAATCCACATCAGGTGTTTCCTCCATGCTTTTTTTCTGTTGCCTTCCTGAATGTGATTTCCTTGTTTGTAATACCTGTGAGTTGCCCTTTAGCCTCATTTTTTTTCAGGAATGTGAATAAAGGCAGGTTCACACTGGAGGTGAATGCAAAAGCGAAGAAAATTTGACGTAATGAACAATTTGCTGCAAAATTTTGCTTGAGCTGAGAATGTGTTCAACTTTTGCAAATTCGCAAATGTGATTATTTGGTCTGACATTACAAATTTGTATTCGTGTTTGCTTTTGCGCAAAGTATGAACCAGCATTAAAGGTGTCTGAGGCCCACATATTTTTCTATTTCTTGTTTGTTTTGTTTTCAAATTTTTTGCAACAGAGTTAAAACAACAACAACAACACACTTCCACTTGTGAACAACTTTATATATATATATATACATTAACAAGGTGGTTATAAAAAGGCAAAATCTACTTGAGAAAGGAAATCTGTTAATTGGCACTTTGTATGACAGAAGTACATGTACATCAGCATTAATGTTGGATTCAATCACACTGTCGTCATTATTCATACATGACTGTGCAAAGTATTCAAATGACTCCCCTCACTATGAAAGATGTAGCAGACTGGCAGAGCATTCCTGTGTATGGAAAAAGGTGAATCCTATCGTCGACCATGGAGCTATAACCCGAACAGTCCTCGGTCCTCCAACAGGTGAAGGATTGAGGACTGTTAGGGATAAAACCATGCACTGACTCAGTTGGTTTCAACTATCAATAACATTTGATAAATATGTTTGTGTGTACGAAAAATACAGGTGCATTAAATTATAAAGTGCTGGCTTACAGAGATGGTTTACTTTCAGAAGAGAAAATTAGAACAAGGAAACAAACATCCCCTTGCTGGAGGATCAACACCATTCATCAGACTCCATTTATGATTTCCAATGATAGATGAAGTGTTTTTTTTTCTTTTCTCTCCTCTCTTGGCTGGCTAATGGCAGATACATGTACCTATGTAGCACAGAGAGGAATGACCTCTTCTTGCAAAAGTAAAGTACTGGTACGTGGAATGCAGCTGAGGCTAGGAGAAGAAAGCAGTAAGGGAGAGCCCTCAGAGTAGTGGAGTAGGAACAGAAACATTATTGGACAATTGGTGCTGGTAACCTGTTGACGATTCAGGGTTAGTGATAACATTTGCGTATGAAGCCTTAAAACGAAAATGAAACAAAAGGAAAAAATACCAAAATAGTTTTAAAAAAACACACAAGTCAGAAGCTTGAGCAAATTTTCGTCCCCCCCCCGTGAAGATGTTGAGGAATCATGGTAAAAAATAAAATCTAAGTCTGTATGTGAGAAAATCTGACTGTGGACTCATATCAAATCAAAATGCTCATTACAAATGATAACTGAATTCACATATACATGTATGGATCCTGTTATACAGATCAACAACTCTTTCTTGAAAAATGCATCTGGTGGGGCGTTACAACATGAAATACATTACAGGCAGTGACATTACTCCCAAAGATTCCTAAAAAATGATATAGAGTGAAAATTGCTTCTGGGCACAAGAGAGTTGAAGTGACGCTTTTCATTAGGAGGGAATTAAGCGATTCACAATTGAGAATTATGAATTCATTCAGAATCAGGTTTGGTATACCACAGCCTGTGTAACAATCCTGGAGAATGCCCATTTTGTGACAGGAATGAAATCAAATGCTGATGCCAGCTGCCTTTTAAACACGCTTGCGACATCACATATTAAACACCAGGTTTAAATTGGATCCTCGGCGTAAGTTGGATTTGACCAATTGATTGGGTTTTTGAACTGTTATCAAACAACTCAGTTATTCTTAACATTTATCAGTGGCACCTTTCTTTAAACAAAATTGTTACTATGGTATAGCAGGGGGAGGACACTGCACAGAGGACTACTTCCTTTACTTGGGATCTGTGCTGCCTTGAGCTCCTCTGCACAGACTTTGGAGAAGAGAGATTAGTAATGCAATATACTATGACCAATCCCCTTCAGATAATAATGAGGTCCCTAAACATAACTGCTCTGACCACTAACCCACCTTCAGCTTATGCCTCTGACTCACACGGACACTGCTTTCAAATTTGTAAAACTGAGGACGTTTCAGCATCCTTTTTGGGGGAGGGGGGTGAAGGTGTCTTTTGGGTTCAGTGACCTTGCATGGCAATTTGCTGTTCAGTGGTGCACCCAGGATGTAGTGGGAGGTCTTTCACCAGAATTTAATGCCCCACCCCCAAAATAGCTCATGATGCTAAACCTACATGTGTATATTGCATCTTGGAGTCTCAGATCCCCCCCCAAAAAAAAAAACCGGGAGGGGGGGCCCTCCACCCCCTTTCCTCAAGGTCCTCCCACCACTATTGCTGTTGACATCTGTGCGCATATGCAATGCTCCCCTACCAGGCCATCAATAGAGCCCCCCACGTATGTTTCAGAAAGAAATTATTAACTGCGCATGTCCCCTTTTTAGGGTCATTTGCATGCATAATGAGGGCCATGGGAATTCTTGCCTGGCAAACAGCTGCTTCATTTCACTTATTTTCACTTTTTGGAAATAAAAATTCCTGTCCAAAATATTTTCATGGTGTTTTGGGAAATAAAATTGAGAAATAGTACCAGGCTGGTCAAAACTCGTGAATTTTGTGAAAAATTCTCTTCGTAAGCGGTAGTTTGTTTACGTTTTGATGCAATTTTTGAAGGCTCAAAACAAAGAATTCAAAGTTTTCCTGAAGTTTTCAAAAGTGGGCTGGGGTGGAGACAGGTGTGAAGGTTTTAGATTTGCTAACGGTTTTCTGCTATATTTTTTCATTTCCTGACCGGATGTGTTTGCATATTGACCTAACTCAGCACCGATTCCGTTCATCCCTCATAATCTTACGGCCATGCGAGCATAAGAATTCAGTGACTTGGGAAAACAAGGACTAAGTGATCGATTGAAAATAGAAATAATTTATCATCTTAGCAACCACTTTGAGGCTAAATTTCATATTTATGTAGCATTTCTTTTCATGATTCTGTAGTGTTTTATTCGGTTCAAGCCTTCTAGAGCACATACAGAGAGTTTCAATGTGATGATTTGCTACCTTTGTGCAAACGAAGTCTTCACATCGAGAAGGCTCAATAGAGGATTGGCAAGTTGCTAAGGACATTTCCCTATGGTTCACGAGGGTCCGGTCAAGTAACCGCCGCGCACGGTCGAAGTCGTTAATTTCCACACGTTGAATGGGGGTGAAACATAAATGTCCCAGAGTGAGCTCCACTACCAGCGCTGAGCTCAGGGAAGCTTGTTTACTCCTAACACAAGAGTTGCTGGTTATTCCATTGTTCTGATCTAGTGATTAGGTGATCAGAAGAGCTCAGTCTGGGCCCCACCTTGGGAACCGATCATTCAGCAAGGTTTTCAAAGAACAAGACTATCTGTGAGTAAACACTGTCAGCCACAGGAAATATTCCACGATTACATACATTTCACCAGTATAAAGTTTCCTTTAGGCTGTAGAACCACAGCTGTTGATATGTGCACGGGTCACTGTTTTGAAAGTTAGGCTGTGCTACGGTAGAAACTTTCACATCTGGGCTTCCTTTCATGGGGCTGCACAGTGTTAAACAAGGC